AGTCTCCACTGGAGGGAGAACAGCTCCCTCCTTGTGCTATCTTTTCTCTGCACCCTGGAAGATAGGGGGCAGCTGGGTCCTGCAAATGTGGATAACTGGAGTGCCAGGGTGACTGGGCTCAGGACATGTATCAGGACCCCTTTCCCTTGTCCAGAACCCCCAGACCCCTCACCTGTCAGAGGGAAAGCCTAGCTCACCCTAAGGGGAGTAGGCTCCCTCCCCTGTGAGTCTCCAGCTCTTACTTGGTAGGAGGCAAGAGCTCCCTGGTAAACAGAATAGGGGTCTCCTTGGCACTGGAGCTGCTTACCTGTTCTCCACCGAGACTGCCGTCCTGTGTCACCCCAGAGAGAGTCCTAGTTATGGGGATGGTAAGGATCTTGACGCCAGGGTGCATGGGCCTGAAGATCAGGGGCCTGTGACCGGCAGGGGCAGAGATGAGCTGTCACTGCTGTTTACACTACTGAGTGCAGGCACAGGAGGCTGTGACTGTGCAAGGCAGGTGAGAGACCCCTGGTCTTTGTCTTTGTAGGGGAAGCAGTTTTTCTCCTGAGTCTTGGAAAAAGGTGGGTGGAATGTCCTGGAGTACCCCCACAGCTGTGATCCCCATACCTGTTGGAAGATCTATCTCTGTTCTTCCAATTGCAGCCTGTGTGTCCTAGCCTCAAGATGGAAATCTAAGGCCACCCAAAGCTCCTATCCTGGGTGGGCAGTGAGAAGGCCTGTGGGCTTCTTTCTTTTCTATTTTTTAAGATTTATTTTTTATTTATTTCTATATATATGAACTGGAATATTGGTGAGGTGTTGTGGGGGCGGTTTGAGAGGATTCACCAGAGACAGGGTGGGGAGCAGAACAGGTGGATCAACTGGAATACACTGCTGAGGGGAGCAGTGGGTGAGACTGGAGAGGTCTGCTGTGCCATGTGAGTCAGCTCCCTCGTCGGGGATTGAACTCAGCAATGGCTAGTGATAGCTTGATAGTGCTGAGTCTTTAACCTCTGCAACACCAGAGAGGCCCCCCTGTAGGCTTCTCTAAAGCTTGAGTGAGTCTGCTTCCTCATTGGGTTTCTGTGGTTCATGGACCCTGGCTCACCTGCTCACTGGAGAGCAGCTCAGCGAGGAAGGGGGTCTGTGTGGGAGTAGGAATTAGCGAGGAGAGGGAAGGGAAGGGAGATGAAAGAAGACTCAAGACCTTTCATGTTTCCAGTGCATCCAGGCCTGTTTCTGGGCCAAGGGCCTCCAGGGCCATATGTCCAGGGTGTGGGGGCAGGGAAACAGGTACTTGGGTTCTGAGATCATGGCACAATTCCCCTGCCCCCCAAGTTTTACTTCTCAAGCTCCAAGTTCTATTCTCAGAGCTGCCTGAGATGGCCCAAGCCCATCTAGTGCATCAGGAACTAGAACTGCCTTCAGATTTCAAACTCCTGACTGGGCCATTAGGGAGGAGGAAAAGGAAGGTCACTTCCAAGCCCCCAGATGGACTGGGGGTCCAGGAGGTTTCTGTGTGATTTTCAGGATGAGTGAAGACAGGACTGCCTTTTCCCTGGGGAAGGCCTGAGTAGTATCTCAGTTATGGTGGGTTATGGGTACAAGGGGTAGTTGCTGGTGGCTATGATGGTGGCATGGGCCTGCCACGAGGGTGGGGTGGGGGTCTGAGAGGCTTCTCCAGGGCTTCAGCAGGCAGCTTCCCACCCTCAAGCTGTGAAAAGTAGGCAGCAGCTCCTTTGCTCCTCTCCCTCCATCACAGCCCAGTGGGGCTGGGGGCAAGCAGGAGCCGCTGAAGGCTGGAGGGAGGCCAGGATGGGAGCTGGGGCTGAGGAAGCAGCAGATGACTCACACCTCCTGACTGCCCGATTGGTGTCACTGTTGTCTGGCACCTAGAGGGACTGCATGGGGTAGACAGGCCTGCTTTGATGTGGGACCATGAATCTTGTATGAGATCCCCCTGTGCCACAGCCCCAGCCTTTCAGAGTATTTCCCCAGAGACCCAAGGCTCTCTGGGGACCACGCTCGAGGCTGCAGATATAGCCCCATTCCCAACCCTGGCAGTAGCCCCCACAGTCACTCCCTCCGTGCAGCCCAGGAAGCCCCAGATCTCATGACTCCTTTCTCCCACTATCCCCCCAGAGCCAGGATGGAGTGAGGCAGGAGACCTCCCTGCCACTACCCCCAGTGCCAGGATGGAGTGAGGCAGGAGATATGGGTGTTGCTGAAGCTCCGGCTAAATCTCTTGCACTTAACTGCCTCTGCCTGGGGAGAAGAAGCCTCGGGAATCAGTATCAGCACTGAGTGTCTAGCCACCAGAGCCTGATGAAAAATATCTTTTACTCCATACTGGGCGGAGAACTCCCCTTGGTGAAGTCCCCAGGAACTGAGTCACCCAGAGCCTCTGCTCTACAAGTGGGAGTCCAAACAGCCCAGAAGTAGGGGCAATTCCAGCTTGGAGAAGCGGGAATGACTTGCTAAAGCACCCCCAATTATTCCCATCCTGAACATCCCTCCTCCATGCTTCTGGGGTTTGCTCTAGGCAGGGTTTTCAATCCAATGAGCATGGCTGTCACACTTACGTCTGCTTATGGGGGTCCCCAGGATGGGCTTTTTCTTCAGGTATGAGGATGGTGACTTGGAGCATGACCTTTAGACTTAGACCCTGATGGGAGTTGTTGGCCCAAAGTTAGGCAGCAGGCCAGAGCCTGCCTGACTCAGCGCGGTAAAGAGGTGTGGCATCTGTATCCCAGCTACCTCACACTGACATCCTCAAAGACAGTTTGTCCCAAGCCTCCACCCCCATCAGTATTCCTTCAGAGCCCTGAGCATCCTCTGGCCCTGGTCCCAGGACAGTGATACCAACCCTAGCAGCCACTGTCCACCTGCCTTGAAAAGGGAGGCAACAAGGGCAGGCTCCTCCTCCTTTTGGTAGGAGGAGTCTAGGACCCACTTCTGCTCCTCCACAGCTATCCCCCACAGCTTCCGCTCCACCTGTCTGGCAGTTCTGACCTGGAAAGTGAAGGTGCGCTAGTGGCCCCGACAGTCAGCCCTTTGCTGGGCAGGTGCCAGGAGGACCCTCATACTGGGCCCTCACCTGTCTCAGTATTTTTCACAGGAGCTCAGGGGACAGGCCCATGGTAGTACCTGTTCCCATTTTGAGCTCAGATGGCAGGAGCTGAGAAGGTCGCTGAACCCCTGGGCTCAGCACGGGCAGAGGAACACCAGGGCTTCCAATGCCAGGACATCTCTGCTCCCTTCCACGGTGGTTTATTCCCCTGTACACTTGTGGCCAGGCCTGTACTGGCACTTGGGATCTGGAGATGTATCAGGGGAGGCCAGGGTCTCAAAGCAGCTAGTGGCCAAGATCACGGAATTCAATCAGTTTTGGAGTAAGTACTCTTTCCCCCAAACTAAGAGTCCCACCAGGAAAGTTGAGGCCTGGGTTTTAGGGCTTAGAAGTCCCAAAGGAGTCAGTTCCACCCTTGGGTGCCATGGTAGTGACAGTTTCAGCCAGACACCTGTCCGCTGATGTCGCCCCCCAAGCTAGGGAGCTCCCTCTTCAAATGGGACAGGAACCTTTGAGGCAGCCCCAGCCCCCCTGCCTACAGGGGCTCCTGCTCTGGTCTCTCACCCAGCTGTCGTGCTTCCACTCACCTCTGCCCACCTTGGTTCCTGAGGGACCCTGTGTGTAGGGGGGGGCAGCTCTCATACCTCTCTGCAGGTGTCCCTCCTCACAGTCATGAAGTCACGTAGGCTTCCACCCTCACCTATGCCAGCTACTGGTTGGGGCCTGCGCCCAGAGAGGGTGAGGGGCTCACCCAGCATTAACCTGTATACAGAAGTCAGGGTGGCTGTGCCGATGCCTTCCCTCCAGGCTGGCACGGCTGGCCATCTTTCACGCAGAGTTACGTAAGCTTGAGTCAATTGGAGCTCAGAGCAGTTCATTGTGGGCTATTTTTAAGCTGTAACACATCACAGCAGAGGGGTCACTGCACCAAGGCTTGCAGGGAAGGTTGTTTAAACATCTGTTATTTAAATTTCCCTGTGCCTTAGAGCTCCAAAACCACCTCCTCTGGCACTCTTGGGTTCTGCCTTCCACATCCCAGATGAGGAGTGGATTACCCCCTCACCTCCCCACCCCCTAGTTTTGTTTGCTTAGGTCTGGGTTCTGTGCATCCTGGCTGTCTTCCTTTTGGGTTCAGGCAGGGAAGCCAGGGAGTGGGAGGTGGATGCTTCTTCAAAGTGTGGTGCTACTTCCATGGAGTGGGGCACCCCAAACAGGAGAAATATTAGGGAAACAGGAAGTCAGGGCTCACAGGTCACTTGGCTAGCTCTAGGTGGGAAGTTTGTAGAGGAAGAGGAAGACACAAAACACTGGCTGTGAAGCTGGGAGACCAAGCTTCCTTTCCCCTTGGGGGCCTAGTTTCTCATCAGTACCCAAAGGGACTTGATCACAAGGTCCTTTGGGGTTTTGCAGAAGCCTGCCTTTGCCTAGGCTGTGCTCCTTCCTGGAATGCCTTCCCTCCACAGATCTAAATGCTACCCATTTGCAGCCTCTGGGGCAGAAGCGCTGGTGAGTGAGCCCCAGGCCGCAGCCAGGGTGAACCTCTGGGGAAACAGTCTTGCTTGTCATTCCCATTATCAAGTGGTTGGCTGCACCGAGAGCCCTTTCAGAAAGGCTCCTTCTGATTTTCAATTTTTGTAGAGGTCCAAAATCTATCCCAGGGCAATGGAAGGGGAAAGCATATAAATTAGACATGTGAGGGCCAGGACTTGCCAGAGCTGACTCCTAAGAACACAGTGGAGTTGAAAAACAGGTCTACATTGGATGAGAAAGTCTGGGGGACTTGGCTGGTCCCGGAGCTCTAGGTGGAATGGGCTTCTCTGCATCTCCCCTCCATGCCCTTCCTGCCACCTCCCCCCCCCCCCCCCCCCCCATCCTGAGGCCTCCTAGGTGGAATGGTTCCAGCCTCATTCACAGAGTAGATCAGCGCTGCTGCTCTCCCCATCTCCTGAACTATGGCCCTGTTCACTGGGTTGGGACCTTCCTCCTAGGCCTGCCTGGAGGGGGTCAGGTAAAGTGTCAGGGGAGGTCCTCACAGAGGTAAGATACTCCATATGGCCTAGTGCTCAGGCTGCACTCTTTCCAGTTCCTTCAGGGTCCTCCCATCCTGCTGAGCCCTCAGCCTGGGGAATGGGCTCAGCCTGGGGGAGGGGCTCTCCAGGTTGCCATGGCAACATGTTGGCCCTCCTCACTTTCCTGAATCAGAAATAGAATTGGATGCCCTTCTTCCTGGTGAAACTATTTAAAAACATGTGGGGGGAGGGGTAGAGGGACAATGTCCCTGCTCCATCCCTGGGGACCTAGCAGAAGGTCCCAGACTGAGAGCCTCTGTAGTTGCCCTTGATGCTCTTCTCCTTGATTGGATGAAATGCAATGGGCTTTGGCTAGTCAAGAGTTCTGAGTACAAAAGGCCCAGCCTGGTCCCACAAGTGCAGTTGGCCTGTACTTGGTATCACCAGGTTCCTGGGAGGGCATTAGTTTAATGGTGCCAAGAGGGAAAATGCCCCCAGGATTAGTCACCTGCTAAGCTATTAGGCGCAGAGGCAGACTCCTATGTGGTACAACTCTGGTTGGGGCTTATGGCTGCAGCACTTGGGAGGTATGTTGGTCCCCCTGAAGCAGGGCCCTTGCTTGTGTGGCCCTGAGCATAGCACCCCGTGTTGGTGGCTTATAGTCTCCTGAAGTGGGGTTCCAGAGCCTGGTAGCCTAGCTTTGGATTCTGGCTCTACTTAATCAGCCGAGACCTCTGTGGATTCTTTTTCTCCCTGTGCCTTACTTTCCTCATTGGTACAATAACAATGATAATGCCCCGTTCACTGATTTGCTGTGAAACCAGAGTACATGCATGCAGCACTGCCTGGCACAGAGGCAATCAATATCCGTCATGATTCTTATTGCTGCAGGGGCTGTTGGCTCCCCAGATGGGAAGAGCCTTCTCCTCTCCCTGGACCGCTTTCTTTGGACCTTCCGTCAAGTATCACACCCTTCACTGACTCTGTTCCCTTCTGCTAGGATATTCAGGGCAGTTGTTTACAAAGGACCCCAGCCCTGGAAACAGATTCTACTTTAGCTCTGCAGGAGGTGGGGGATGGTTCAGTGGTTGAACAGGCAGGAGACTCTCAGAGCCTCTCTCCATGCCTCCCTGCCCACCCAGATACAGCCCAGATCAGGACTGGACAGGCATTAGAGGCTGCTACTAGCATTTCTGCATCAGGGGAAAATACAAAACCAGTTTGCTCAGGGCCAGAGATTAATGAAGTTAATAGTGTTCAGCTATAGTCTTCACGTGTCCAAGCTCTTGCGCTTTTTCTCAGTCATACTGTGAGGATCAGCAGTGCCTACTCAGTGTCCAGAGATATCTGTCCCCATTCTAAACTGAGGACAGCATCTGGGGGAGTGGGAAGGGGTCTCAGGAGCCCGATCCATGGCTGAGTCAGGCTTTGCCCAGCGCAGAGTCAGGAAGGTGCAGACACAGCATAGCGCAAACCCTGGTCCCTGGTCACGTCGCTTCACACCCCACGGCCAATTGTAAGCTCTATTTTTAACCTCTGTGAAAACATGCAGCTTCAGAGATAAGTCTACAGCTGTATTTTCCACAAACCTGTTTCTTGGGTGGAAAGACTGAGACCTGAAAGAACACAGACTTGGAGGACAGAGGGAAGAGGCCCAGAGCCCAGGGCTGGGGGACAGGAGGGCCTACCTCCACCCGAGAGCAGAAGCTCCAGATCCAGGCCTGACAATGGGAGGTCCCTAAACTGCTGCCTGTCCCTGCGGTTACAGGGCATATCTGCGCCTAGGCTGGTGGTACAGGCAGTCCCGTTTCTCCCTGCCCTTTGTGTGCCCATCTAAGAAATGAAGGAGGGTGAAACTGCCCACCTGGTCAAACTGTTTAAACTGCTTTTCTGCCCATCTTGTGTTGTCTTTGATCCACAGTCCTTACCGCCATAGGACAGAGCCAGTTCTGTGCCTAATGTGTGTATAGCCACTACGTCCCTAAGGAGTCCCATTCTGTAACTGCCACTGGGCTAGCCTGTGTCCACTATGGCTGAGCCCTATAACAAGAGCTCAGCCCCTCTTGTAGCCCATACAATGTGAAAAGAACTAGAACGTTCTGACTTGAGGATTCTGAGTTGAGGCCCCACCGCCACCCATCGCCCCCTTTCCCACCTCTGCAGGGTACTGGTCCTGGGCTTAAAGGACATGTGGCTCTGAGGAGGGGCCCTATGAGGCACAGGCAGAGGAGAACCATCTGGAGCAGCAAAGACTGCCAAGGAGCTGATGTCCCTGGAGTGGGAGCCAGGGAACATGGGGGAGGGGAGTTTGGGTGTAAGCCTGGGCCCCTCACCTGCTTCTGTTTCCCAGGACTGAGTAGTGAAGCTACTCCCCAAGCTCGTGCCACATACTTCAACCACATGTCTGGGTCAGGTTTGATTCTCAAGTGGGAGATGAGATGCAAAGTCTGGATCTGAGGTAGACTGGGAACACCTCCCCTATCTACCTTTCTCACTTGACCTTACACTGCCCGCTGTCAGAGTGGTCATCTGGCTGGGAAGAGGCGAGGAGCCTAGCCTAGGGCTAGCAGACTTCACCTGGGCCACTGGGCCTCTTTGTTTCTTTCCCAAGCCTTTCTTGGCAGACCCCTTTCCTCAAGTAGGTTCCGGCTTCCGGTTTCCCACACTCTGTCACCCTCCCCCCACCCAGGTCACTGGGGGCTGTGATGTGTGGGGTTGCCATGGCAATGATGTGGGGGCAGGGCACCTAGAGCATGGAGCAGGACTATGGAAGCCACCAAGAAGGTGGGGGGCCCTGATCCATCGGGCCCCCAAGCCCACCCCTCGGCCAGCAGCCAGCAGTTGGGGGGTAGCCTCAGAGGGTCCCAGGGACCATGGATAAACCCAGGATCCTTATGCTTCAAGCAGGGGTTATCACTGCCCACTGAGACCATCTCTGATGGGGCCTGTGGCCCAACCCCTAGCCCTACTCAACAGCTGCTCCGGGACCCTGCTGAGGTTAATTCCCAGTGTGGTTGTGAGCAGGTCTCCCAGCACTCCCTGAGGCACTCCAATAGCCTGTTTCCAAGCCCCATCGTGGGAGCCCATACGCATCTCATCACGGAGAGCGAGAACATGGCCCTACCCATGTGCACGCGCAGTGACAGCAACAGTGACACAGCCCAGCTTGGATCCTGCCGCTCCCGCTTTCAGGTGCATCTTGGGAGGCAGAGCAAGGTTCCCGCTAAGGTCCTGGTGGGCTGGGGCAAAGGCCCCTGCAGCACTGAAGAGATAGTCCCCTTGGGCACCAGGAAGAGCCGGTGGCTACCCTATATCCTTTCAGAGGAGAATGACTCAACTGCAGCCCAAACTACTCTTCCAGCTCCAGCCCAAGATCAGGACCAGGGCAAGTGCTCATGTTTGGCTCAGGCTCCTCCAACTCCAACTCAGGCAAATACTCCAGCCCTGCCTGCACTCCCACTGCCAGCAGCAGTCGATACTTACAACTGTAGCCCTGACCACCTGGCTGAATCCATTACCATCACCAAAGCATCAAATTCCCAAGACCTACTACTCAGGAAGTATGATGACCAGTGGTCAATCCTCCTGGAGCCTTCTAAAGTGGTCATACCATGCCAGAACAAAGTGAATTTCTGTTCTCAGGAGGAGCCTCCTACTCCACAGTCCACTCTAGCAGAGGGCCCAGACCATGTCAAGGATTTCGACGCTGCCAGAAGTCAGGTGCTACCCATGCAGCCTGAGAACCCAGCGGAGAAGGCCCTGACCTGCACCTCCAGGCCAGCTAGCCCACCACCAGTCTCAGTACCTCCAGGCACCCCTGAGCCCCAGAGGAGTAGCCTGGAGATCTGTATCTCTCAGCCAGACCAGAAGCCCTTCAGTGTTTGCAACAACGCCTGCTCCAGTGTGCCTGCCCACCAAGTAACCTGCTGTAAGCAGTCCTCAGTCCAGGTTCCCAAGGAAGCCATGCAGGTCCCTCTGTCCAGTGCCCCTACCTGCCAGCGTCAGGATGCTGTGGAAGACCGTGTGCTGGTGTTTGATATGGCTACGGGCAATACCAGGATGGGGCTGTTATGCCATGACCCTATGGGCTCACGGGCAGTGCTGGTGGGCCTTATGCCCAGCCACGCACCCATCAATGTCCCAGAAAATATGTCTACCCCGCCAATGGTCATGCCCATCCTATCCCCTAACAATGATCACTCCAGCCTATGGTCCACCTCACCCATAATCTCCAGTCCTGTGCCTTCCAGCCTCTCATCTGGCAGCTACCGAGAAGTGTCCCTGGCTCCAAAGGAGGCCAGGCTCAACCTGGAGTCACAGGATTCTCTTGGTATTGAGACACCCATCAGGATTGGGATGCTCGCTGGGCCTGTCCCACTGGGAATGCCCCTCCAGTTTGGTGAGGGGATACGGTGCCAAGTCCATGATCCTGGCTGGCCTAAACCTGATGCTGAAAACACTGAACCTGGTCACACCATCCAGCTTCTGGATGCATCCAGAATGCAGGATGCTTCCATGATTGAGGCCAAGAAACTTCAGGGCATGAGCTCAAAGCAGACTCTAGAGCCTGCTGTACCACTTACAGCCCAGGAGGCACCCAAATCCCTGTTCCAGGAGGATGTTGGCAGCCACAGCTGGAAAAAGGTCATGACGGCTCACCCTAACAATCCTCATGCTAAAGGTGCTGAACCGCCCCACCACTGTTGCCTTCCATCACTGGCTGAACAGCACCCTCTTACAGGGAAGACTCCCATTGCCAGGCAGCCCCCTCCCAAAGATCAACCCCCCTCTTCTGAACAGCCCCCTCCCTCCAAGCAGTGCCTCCTTCCTGATTGTCCCCATCTCACAGGGACGCCTCTTGCCAGGAAGCTTTCTCTCACTGGGCAGATTCCCTTCTCCCAAGAATCCCCCATCACCAAAGAGCCCGCCCTCTTAAGGGAGCCGATCCAGGCCTCTACTCTGTGCCAGGAAGGTGAGTCTGTGGGCCGACCTACCAATGTGGGGATACTTCGGGTGCCCCTAGCTCCTGAGGACACTTGTGTCTGTGTCAGCAGAGGGACGGTAGGCCACAGAGATATTCAAAGCTCCAATACACATCAGCTCCCGTGGCAACCTACCAATTCCCCCAGGGCCCAGGAGGATCAGATGTCCCTGATCACCTTCACCACACCTGGCCCTGGCTGCAAGGTCTTGCCCATGGCTATGGTGGACACTGAGCCCCAGAGTGCCCGGTTCAAGCTAAAAGCTGAGGACATACCAAACTCATCAGTGGTCGCACAACTTGGCCTGCTCCGCGGAGCCTGCTATGAACTGGTACCTCCCACAGATGTTCTGCCAGTGCAGTCCCCAGTGCTCTGTCGCCATTCACTGGGTCCTTATCAGGACATGAAAGCTGTGGTGATAGACACAGGCACAGGCTTCACCAAATGTGGACTGGCTGGAGAGGACCATGTCCTCAGTGTAGTCCCTTCACGTGTCCAGTTGCTGCAGCACCCGGTCCAGGGCCAGCCCCGCTATGCTGTGCCTGAGAACCGCGACGGCTCCCACTCCATCTTGAATCGAGGAGTGGTGTCCGACTGGGACGCCCTGGAGGTGCTGTGGCAGCACCTGTTCTACTGCAGGCTCCGAGTGCAGCCGGAGGAGCTGGCTGTGCTGGTGGCCGACTCTCCCATCTCACCGCGCACCAACCGGGAGAAGGTGGCGGAAATACTTTTTGAGCGTTTCCATGTGCCCGCCATGCAGACAGTCCATCAAGCCCTATTGGCCCTCTACGCGTATGGGCGCACCACTGGGCTGGTACTGGGCAGTGGCTATGGCACTTCCTACGTGGCCCCCATCCTCACTGGGGATCTCGCCCCACTTGACACGTTTCGGCTGGATGTGGCTGGTAGTGACCTCACTGAATACTTGTCTCAGCTGTTGCTGGCAAGCGGCCACTCTCCGCCGAAGGCAGGGATGGTCAACCAGATTAAAGAAGCCTGCTGTTATGTAGCCATGGATATGGCGGCAGAGATGGCTCGCACCCAGACCATGGCCCGGGTAGAGTTTGTGCTTCCAGACAAGCAGGTCATCACCTTGGGCTCTGAGCGCTTCTGTTGCCCTGAGGCTCTCTTCCAACCCAGTCTGCTAGGACTCAACCAGCCTGGCCTCCCACAACTAGCCCTCCTAAGCATTAGCCGACTTGAGGCCAAGCAGCAGGAGCAGCTGCTGGCCAATGTAGTGCTGGAGGGGGGCAGCACTTTGGTGAGCGGCTTTCCTGAGCGCCTGAGACTGGAGTTGGGGCCCCGTGCCACTGTGCTGGGCTCTCCTCACCGCGCAGTTGCTGCTTGGCTCGGAGGCTCCATCATGGCATCCCGGGACTCATTCCAGAACCTGTGGCTGAGCCGCCGTGAGTACGAGGAGGAGGGCCCATGGGCCATCTACAAGTATCAACTATGAGCACATAAAAGCTCTGGTTCTGCTTACTTTGAGCATTGTGGCATGTTTTAGACACAGGGTGGTGCAGGGGTTGGGGGCGTGTGGGGGGGCTCCTGCTACTCCCAGGCACACTTGGCCTCTGCACGGTGGAACTTGATGGACCATGGCAATCCCATCTTTTCCAGAGTGCCCCAGAACCCCTTGGCTAGCATTGGCTCTGGTCTAGCCTGACCTTTACTGCACCCCAAGGGCAACCACAGAGAGTGGCTGCTGTGGGTTTTGCCCCGTTGCCCTGGCGACAAGCGCAATTACCCTTGATTGCCAGCTGGTTGCCATGGCAATTTCAAACATAATGTAATAACCCACACAGCCTGGAGTGAGTCATGAAGGGGGGCAGCCCCTTCCCCTAGCTCCAGAGGAAAAGACTGCTTGCCCTCCCCCAGCGTGTGCCCTCTACAGGGGGTTAAGGCCAGTAACATGGACAATAGCGTAATAGGTCCAAAGATGGATGGGGCCCTGGAATATTTGTTGTCCCCAACAGAGGGTCCCTATCAGGCTGGGCTTCTTGGGGGAGCTGGCCTAGTAATGTGGGTTCTTTCTAAAGTCTGAACCTTGGCTGGAATTCTATGGTGGGTTGGCAGGGGTGTCTGCCAGGTAGTGAGAATATGAGGGTATAACAGTGTTTGGCCTTTCGTGCCCTGGAGCAGGAGTCAGGGTGAATAGGAGAGTTAAGTCCTGGATCCTGGGAGGGAGGTAAAACCTGAGCTGGGGTATGAGGCTCCAGCCTGCTTTGCAGGCTCTGTGGATACACAGGTTCACACCTTATCCTCTTCTCTGTTTAGCTCCCGTGGTTCAGGACTATTAATTTTGGGTTACATTCTCTCAGCCTCCCAACCCTATCCACAGGGTGGCCAGTATACAGGCCTTCTTGGGAGAGCCTCACAGCAGCTACTTGGCAATGCCAATGCCAACTATCTCTGCAGAGTTTGCCAAACTCTTTACTGGGCAAAAGGACCTCCTGCCATCCCTCTGGCCATGGGGGTGGGAGTGGGCGGCTAGAAGATATGGTCCCTGACCTTGTCCAGCTCTAAATAGTTGGGGTAGGGATAAAGTTCTATGTCAGCCCAGCTCATGACCTGGAATAGTTGAGAGATGATATTCAGTTGGTGTTGTTATTTTCTGCTCAGAGGGAAGCTGGAGGTTGAAACTGAAACACTGAAGTGGGTTCTACTCTGCTTGTGCCTTCCTGGAATAAGCCTTGTTCCAGTCCCAACTCTGGGTACCCATCACCTACCTGAGAGTGAGAGTCTGCCACAGTGGAGATTAGAAATATGCAATGACAGAGGGTCGTCACAGCCCCTACCTTCCCTGGACATGGTCCAGCTTCTTCCCATTTCCTACTTTCACACCTTGACTCAGGCTTCATAATCCTGACGCTTGAGTCAGGCAGGAAGGGACCCAGTGCTACTGGGGACCCGATTCCAGGAACCAGCCACAGTGTCCATATGTACACACGAGCCAGCTCGCCAGGGTATGCATCTAGCGCAGACACACATGCCTCTGGGCACCACTGCACGAACTGCTGCTGTCATCTCCTTCAGCATAAGAGCACGTGCGTGTGCCTGCACTCACACACTCACACACACACGCACACACATGCACTCAGATCCTGCCACGTGCTTTCACCCACAGGCACATGGAATGTGCACAGGACCAAGAAGAGACATAGCACTGCCAGCAGCATGCAGCGCTCTGGTGAGCCACTGCTTCCTTCCCCTGCCTCTGAATCCCCCGCTTCAGCTTCCCCGGGCCCTCATGCCTGGATAGCCATAACCTTCAGGAAAAACAGAAAATGTGCGCGTGGCCAGTTGGTGTAACTAGGCTCAGGTACACCAATCTCAGAGAATCATTGTGTCAAGGACAGTGGGTGGGCAGCAGGAAGGAATGAGCACCAGGTCATCATTCATTCTGCAGACATGAACTGAGCACACTGAGATGGGACTCAGGCTTTGCCCTGCAGATGCCCAGCCTTCTAGGAGATTCCTATCCTGTGATAGGCTCGGTATCATGACTGAAACTACCCAGAGACCAGGGAGCCCACAGGTGGCACCAGTCTGGCTTGGAGGAGCCAGGGAAGGATGGAAAGGATTGCTTGACACCCACAATGAAGGAAGAGATCAGAGTCATTTCCCAAGTTAGCCTTCCAGCCCTAGCTCCAACTTCCTCACTTGGGCATTCCCTTCTATCAGCAGCCATGCGGAACCAGCCATACAGAGGAGACTGACCCAACGTGGCCAAGAGATTGGTGATAATCCCACCCAAAATGGCGTCAGAGGCTTACAGAGAGGGTCAGGGTAGAATCCAGCTTCAGACATTAAGAAGCTGATGTCTGGCCTTCAGCCACCAACCCCAGGATTTGTGAGGGTGGTGGGGTAAGCACTGAGTCCATGTGCCTCCCTGACCAGGGCCAGAGAAATAACCCAGGACTTCCTTCAAAGCTTCTTCCTGGCAGTTTTTATTCTTCTCTAGTCAGAGGCCAGATTTGATAGGGCAACTTGGTGCTAGAGTTCTCCTGTCTCCCCATATCCCAGTCCAGGCCACTGATGGTGTTCATCAGTGTTTGAAGTTGATTAAACTGGGAAGAATGCTGATGGCACACCAAGTCGTAGGTGACTCTTTAAAACTTTGAAAATTCAGTTCCACATAGAGGCTGAAGACTCCTGTAGCTGAGACCTAGGGGTTGGAAATATTTTGGCCTTGCAGAATAGGAGGGTCTGCCATCACAGTCTGGTGGCCCCACTAACCACTGCACACACACACACACACACACACAATGCTGACTAGGAGATGCAAGTCTGTATTGCAGCTTATCCCAGGGATTGCTCATTTGCTTCTTCTAAGTGGGTGCATCCTTTTGGGTCAGATTTTGGTTGCTGGGCAGAGCCCAGGTCCCCTGCAGACTACTATGCGCCAAGGCATTCCTGTGCAGTTCCAGGTCTAAGGTTTTCCCGCCACACCTTCTACTCTCCACCCCCTAAAATGAATATAGGAAAGCCCCCCCCCCCCCAATCTGTTCGCCCTATCAGTCCCAGGGCATGAGAGTGTTTTGAGGGCCAAGCCAGTGCTCATCGACTCCATGGCCATCCATCCTTTTCTGCCAGCCTCCAAGTAGGATTCGGGCTTCAGGCTCCTCGGGGGTTGGGGCGGAGCGGGGAGAGCGAGGCCCCGCCCCCAGCCCGCCCCCGGCTCGGGGTGCGAATCCGGTGCCTGCAAGCGGCGGGAGATGCTGGAGGTTCGCGAGCCGAAGCGGCTGCAGCTGGCGCCGCGTCTGCCCCTCGTGCCCGGAGCTGATTTTGCCCTCCACCCCCGGAGCCCTCGGCCACTGAACCCGCGATCGTTCCTCCCTGTGACAGACCAGCGCTGCAGGTGCGGGGCGGGCGGGTCTGGTGGGTGCTCCGGAATGTACGTTGCGGGGTGGGAGTGTGTGTGTGGGGGTCTTGAATCTATATAGCTCGAGGGTTCCGGACGCCGAGTGCGCGGGGGCGCCTCTAGGGTTTGGGGTCTCCGCGAGGGCAGAGCACGCAGGGTCTGCAGATCTGGGGGTAGGCGTGCGGGCTTGGGCTAAAGTTCCCAATATCCACAGACAGCTCGGGGGTCCCAAGGGAAGCCTGCGGGCCTCAAGTCCAGGAGAATCTCCCTTCCTTGCTTCCCCCTCGACCCTCTTCTCCTTGGGTTACTAATTGTGAAAATATTAATCCTCGAATGAACATTCGCGGTGCCTCTTGGGGGCAGGGGCGGAGGGCTGAGCCGTCCCTTCTGACTCCCAGAGCCGCCTCCAGCCCCTCCCAACTGCCCCCGGCCCCCTCCCTCCTCTTAAGCAGTCACTAATTTCCATGACAACGGAGAGTTCTTTATGGGCGACAACCTGAAGGGGGCTGGGCGGGGCTGCCGCGAGGTGGGGGAGGAGGCTTCTAGACCCTGGGGACCCTAAGACCCCTGGCCGAGATCGAGCTTCTAGGCTTAACAGGGGCTAGCTGGGGGCCAGGGCACGGACCCAGTGCTGTGCGGTGGGGGTGGGGGACGCACATGTTTCTGTTGGGAGGTGCGGGGCTTGGTGCTCACACGTGTGCGTTCCGCATGTGTGTTGCTGTGCCAGCGGGGGCGAGTCAGCAGCACTGGGGAAGGGGGTCAGGGTGGCACCACGGTAGGGAGCAGGGTCCCTGGCAGGGGGGAGCTTGAGGGGTAGATAACGAAAGAGTGAGTTTCTGCTTTCCCAGTCTGTGGTATCTGGCAGCGACCCTGGGTTCTCCCAGCCCCCCACAGCTTCTCCAAACTGCTTTTGTCCGCACCTCCTAGGCTAAGCTTTCTTCCCCAGATTCCCTCCTGGAGAACAGGGGTCCATTCTCCCTTACCAAGAGCTCAGTCTGCCACAATCCAGTCCCTGCCCTGTCACCCTTCTAGCAAAGCCAGGCTTTGGCCCCCCCCCCCAGGTCCACCTGCCAAGATCTGCTGCCACCCTCCCCCTCCTCCTTCAGCTTTGGCCACCTGCTGGGCCCCAGTTTTCTCCACTGGAGAATTAATATTTCTACTCCACTCAGTGTCAGACTGGGTCCTGGGGTGAGGCAGAGGTCTCTCTTCCTTTTGCAGCATTTGGCGTGACCCCCCAGTGCCATGGGCTGGCCTCCCATATCAGCTGCTGGCCCTCCTCCCTAGTGCTTGTCGTGGCCACTAACTAGCAGGAGGGCACTGGGACAGAGAGCCCATGATCTCTGTCCAGGGAAACTGAGGCAGGTTGGTGGGGGGGTTGCTATCTTGTTTTGGTGTTGCTAGAGGTGCTGTTTCTTGTCCTCCTGACAAGATCCACTGGGAAGGAGCACAGCAATGGCAGAGAATTCGACAGGGTTGCTACAGGGTCCCAGGGAACCTAAGGCCTGGAGAAGACAGCAGATGGGGGAGGCATGGTTGGGGAGTCTAGGCAGAGCTAGGCCAGCTGAGAGGAGGGACTGTAAAGGGAAGCAGCCAGGTTTCCAAGCTTACTTTCCATCCCCCATGCTCGTTCCTTCCACATATTGGAACTACCTTACCTCAACTCTGCTACTGGGAGAGGGACTGAGGAATTGTTCTGACTGAGGGGATTGCAACAGCTGGCCTCTTCCCCAGGGCAGTGGGTGTGCCTCCTAGACCAAGTTCAATGCATGCCTGGAGGATTTAGAGGGTTTAGTCTCTGAGGTCTAGGCCCAGGGCACTAATGGTCCTGGTGTTCAGCTTCACAGCCAAGGCAGCCTTAGGGCTCTGCTGGCCATCCCTTCTCACTTTCGCCTCCTGTCATGTTGCACCTGTATCCTTTTATCTCTGGCCTCTTTGCTCCCTTTCTATCACAGGTTCTGTCATTGTCTCTGCGTGTCCCTACTCCCCTCTCTTTTAAAGTTCTCCTATCTCCTCTTCCTTGATGGGGACAGGTTCACAGAACATGTGGGGGGCATTGAGCCAACATTCCAGGTCATTCTTGGATAATGGGTTTGAGCAACACCTGCCCCCCTCCTTGATTTAAAACTTCCATTACCATAGCAACCCGTTACTCTGAGGCCTTCCCTTATATTTCCTTTCCTCCACCTACAGGGAAGCAGGGCCCCCAGTGAATTCTACTTCATGGGTTCAAAGATAGGGGCCCTGGGTGCCTGAGAGGCGCCAGTTGGCTCTGCCTGTATGTTCTGGAGGCAAAACTGGACTGTGCCCTGTCCAGGGACTAGAGACTCCAGTCTCCCATGAACTATGACCACTGTTTAGCTGGAGTCTGTGGCCCAGTCAGGGCAATCTCCTGCTGAGTTCCCTGAAGCAGCGGGTGGATGACCAGAAGCTTGGGTCTGTCTCTGGACACCAGACCCTGAGAGTGAGATCTCTATATCCCACCCTTTTAATCTGTGGTCCTGCCAGCGAGGCCTTACCTATGGGGCTGTTATGTCAGGAAGCCTAGCCCCAGTCCCTGAGAGAGAACAGGGAAGGGGAGGGGGTGCCTGCAGGCTGGTGTTCACAGCTGCCACTAAATCGGGAGGTGTTGCCCACAGTTGTTGGCAGGCAGCTGGAGGCCTCCTGGGCCTGTCCTGGTCTCCCTAGGTTTACTGCAAGTTCTGGAGCCCCACATGGCTGAGGACCAGGGCAAAAGGAAGCTCATATTTTGACAAGTTGGGATCTAGCTGACTCCAATAGAGAAGGAAATATGGGACCTCTGGGTCTTTGGAGCTGGCCTCTGTCCCACTTGGGCTTCCTAGGCTTCTGCTTACCTAAGGCTGCAGTAGGGGCCCAGAGGTCCCTTTATAATCAGGGCACCAATAGGCAGAGCCCCCCTTAGAGCCAGCTGGAGGGTAGTAACAGTGCCAGGCTCTGCACTTCCTCCAAGCTCCCTTTGGACAGACCCTGTGCACAGCTTTCTTTGCCGAGAATGTAGGGAGCTTTGTGTCTGCTGTGGGACTCCTATACCATCCCCTGACCCAGTGTGAACTGGGGGCAGCACTCAGGTCCTGTGTGGCTGGGAGAACTCTCTGCATTGGGTGTTGGGACTTGGCTGTCGGGGTCCTTAGGGTGAGAAATGCCCCTTTCTACCCGGCTTTCCATGGTTCTTGCAGCTGTACTTTGGCTGGTCCTTCCCCTACCCCCTTGCTGCAATCGGGTGCCTGGTGCACACACTAGGGCGGCCTCTAAGGTGGCAGCAGTGGGTAGCAGATGGTGAAGTGGGTGGGGGGAGGAGGAGGCCAAGGCACTACTTGGAAGCAACCCCCTCCTCTTTGCCCTGGGGCCAGACTGGGGGCAAGAGAGTGCAGTTAGAGTGGTGAGGAGAAGCAGTGATAGACTGAGGTCAGAGCGGCCTTGGCAGGGGAGGCAGATGTGTCCTTGCCCAGCCATGGGGCTTCAGGACATAGCTCCAGGCTGATGGGACTGTGCACAAAGACCATGGCAGAGACAGACACCCCCCCGACCCCCCCAGACCAGCCCTGAGTTCCTGTGGGCACAGGTGCATATGCATGGCTGAGAGTTGGGCCAGGACCAGGGACAGGCATTTACAAACCTCCCACACCATGCAGCAGAGCAGGGAGCCATGGGGTGGGATGGGGGAGGTGGCGATAGTAAGAGATATCTTAGGGAAGGGCCATTTTGAGTCTGGCCTTGGAGCGGCAGGATTATTTTAGACAGTGTGTCGCACAAACAACCTTAAAATGTCAGAAATCACAATGAAAGAAGAGATTCGGTCTTGGTCTCAGCACCTAGTTCACAGGGAAGCTGCTCCATAGGGAGGCCAAGATAGGCAATGCCCTTGCCAGTGCCCACACTTCCTGCCACTGAGTGGACACAGTGGAGCTGCGAGTCACCTGTTGTTGGACGTTTAGGTAGTGCTGATTTTTTTATGTTATAAATAACTCCGCCGTGACAAATAGGATGCTTGCTGATGGGAGGCTTTGGGGGAAGGGCATTCCCACTAGAGGGAACGGTGTAAGCAAAGCAACAGCGCTGGGACACAGATCCCTCCCAGCCCCCCCGGGGGACCTGCAGACTGAGGTACCATCCTCCCACCCAGTATGGGGCCCTTAGATCCCAGACTGTGAAGGGAACCCTGTACCTTAGCGCTCCTGAGGGCCCTGATGCAGGCCTCCTCCCCCCGGCTGTTAGGGCATGAAGATGGGCGGCCGGCAGTGGTGGGTGCTGTGTCTCTGCTCTCAGCTGTGAGAGTGGGATTCCAGACACATGCTCCTCCCCAGCAGACGCAGGAGCAGGGCTTGTGACCATGGTGGCAGAGACACGTAGTCAGCGAGGATCTTCAAAGCTTCTCTTGTTTGCTTCTGCAGTGCCGCGAGGAAAGATGGTTTAAGCCCTGGCGGATGAAATGAGTTTCCATTCCCTGAACTGAATACCCCAGATGAGGGAATGATGGCATTTGTTTCCTAACGCAAACGGGGAATTTGAGGGCGAAGTTCCAGGACTGTAAGGCCTGAGCAGTGGGTAGCCCCTGCTTGGGAGGAAGCAAGCAGTAGCCAGGAGTGACTGGGGCTTTATGCAGGTGGTGGCTTTTGACCCTGGCTGGCAGAATTCCTTTGGCCCAAGCTGCTTCTTCTGGATAGTTTTTCTCTCCCCCTCCACAACTCTGTGGTGGTCACTCCAGGTAGGGAAACATCCAGGAGCCATGGCCCCAGCACTGCAAGTGCTGATTGTCAGTAGAGGCAGAGCAGCTTGAGTGCAGCTTCAGTGGAGAGCCTGCTGTGTCCCTAGGGTCACACTGACCAGAAGTATGGAGACAGACTGTCTGAGTTGGGAAAGGTTAGACACTGTCACAAACGCCTTTCCCAAAGTTCGCCTCTGAGCAAGGACCTTGAGTGTCTTTCTCTTTGGATGCTGGAACCAGTACACCTTGCACCGCAGGTGGGGACTGGCTGGCAGGGTTGCAGGTCAGCTGGACGCCATGCCCCAGATACCAAAGTGCCGAGAGCCTACTGCCTAAGTTGCATGTGGTCCCCCTTGTGTCTGGAACACCTACACCTGGTCAGGGGCCTCTCCTCCCAACCTGAGTGCCAAGGTCTCCTGGGCGCCCTGGCGGTGAGGCACTCAGGGGGGCCTGCCTTGCCTTTCTGGACTGTTACTCTTGTATCCTTTTTGGCAAATCCCTCCCCTCTAAAGCCAGCCCTAATTCTGCTTCTACCTTAAAGTCTGTCCTTACTCTCCATCCAGGCAGGGATCCCCTTAAGGAGTCCCTCAGCACTATACCTGAACACAATATTTTACTAAATCGAGAAAAGTTTATCAAAGTAAAAATTCTACTAGACAATGAATGAACAAATATCATTCTGCCCCTCTTACACCCAATTCTTTGCCCCAAAGAGAACTCTTATACTCTGGTGTCCTTCCCAAAAGGAGATTGTAAGTGTACAGCAGTGTATACAATTTTAAAAATTTACCCAATAGCAGCACCCTTCCCCCCCACCACCATTCTGTTCCTTGTTTTTCCACTCAGCAATGTCTCAGAGGTCTTCCTACAGCAGCACATTTTATCTCCTTTACTCATCCTCGTAACTACTAAGTATTCTTCACAGATGGTCATACTTTTGATTAGCAGCTTTTTGGTGAAATACAACAAAAATCTAGGAATGCACCCAAAACTTGTATGTATATTTTTACAAATTATGATAAAACCAAATTATTGTAAAATCACCACTCTCCTTCTGAACTAGGTTCTGCAAAACCCCCTCCCTATACCCCATCACACACACACACACACACACACACATACACACACACACAAGTTCTAATCACAGCTCCCTTCTTAGAAAGACTCCTGGTGCTCGTCTCCTCACTTTTCTTTATAGTTTTGCCAGTATATTCATCTCCTCAAGCCAGTATCGGTGAGGCCTGCCTGTTCTGAACCTCCCAGCCGAGAATCACACTCCTTGCGTTCCTTTGTGTCTTTGACTCAGTGATGTTTGGGAGAATCACTATGTGGCTGGGCAGAGCTGTGGCTCCTTCATGTCTCTTGTGTCATACGCCACTGTGTGACTGTACCACATCTGATGGTCAATAGATATTTGGGCTGTTTGCAACTGTGAATGTTGCCACTGTGAGCATTCTGGCCTGAGTGCCCTGAGGCACAAATGGATATATTTCTGTGGGGCATATATTTAGCAGAACAGGTTATGTTCAACTTCAGTAGTTGACCAAACTTTTCTAAAGAGGAGACTTACCCTTCACCAGCAGTGCTCACATTCTCCACCTTTGCCAACACGTCACCTTCAGTTCTAGAGATGACGATGATGGGTGGGTAGGTATAGCCTCCTTCATATGTGAAATAGTAGCTGAAATGTAAAGAAATCAACTTGATAGATCTTTTTTTTTTAGTGTAATGCAAAATGATTTCCTGTTATGCCATTTTAGTATATTTTTCATGTTCTAGTTGATGATGAGTGGCTGAGGTGTGGCTGGAAAAGCAGGGTAGGACACTGAGCATCCTTATGCCTTTCCAGGTGTAGTCTCTGCCTCTGGCTTGACCTGAGCCAATGTAGGGTCTCTCAGAGGCGACCTCTGTCTTGTGGGGATACATGGGGAGGGTTGTAGCTGAGCAGACCTCATCTTGCCTGTAGCTCAGAGCCCGGCAATGCCGTTTGGGTGTGTGACTCTGGGCGACAAGAAGAACTATAACCAGCCATCGGAGGTGACGGACAGATATGATTTGGGACAGGTCATCAAGACGTGAGTGCTGGGTCTGGTGGGCAATGGTGGGTGGGCAAGTGCTGGGGAAATGGGAGTGGAGTGCAGTCCACACTGAGGCCAGGACTCAGTGGAATGCCTGCTGCCTGTAGTGAGGAGTTCTGTGAGATCTTCCGGGCCAAGGACAAAACAACAGGCAAGCTGCACACCTGCAAGAAGTTCCAGAAGCGGGATGGCCGCAAGGTGCGGAAGGCAGCCAAGAACGAGATAGGCATCCTCAAGATGTAAGTGTGAGGCCTGGGCTGGGTAGGAGGCGGGCGGGAAGTACTTTGAGGGCAGGTACCAACCTCTGGCAAGTTAGTCTGCAATTGCTCACAGTGGCAACCAGAGTCTATTTTAGAGGTTCTCCCAACCTCAGCTATTGCCCCTCTCTGTTCCCAGGGTAAAACATCCCAATATCTTGCAACTGGTGGATGTGTTTGTGACCCGCAAGGAGTATTTCATCTTCCTGGAGCTGTGAGTTTGGGTCTGGGGTCCCAGGATTCCTCAGTCCCCAAGGCCTTTATCTGCTTTGTCCTCTGCATCCAGGGAAAGCCCCTTTTCTGGACCCTTGGGGTCCCAGGTCCCTGTGTCTTGACCAGCCAGCTGCCTGGTATAAGCAGCCTGCCCAAGTGTTCCTGCCCCACCCCCGATCCTGCCCACGCCGGGCTCAGGGGCTGGTGTCCCTCAGGGCCACGGGGAGGGAGGTGTTTGACTGGATCCTGGACCAGGGCTACTACTCGGAGCGAGACACGAGCAACGTTGTGCGGCAGGTCCTGGAGGCCGTGGCCTACCTGCACTCACTCAAGATCGTGCACAGGAACCTCAAGGTAAGCCGGGAACTAAGTCAAAGAGTCATTTGGCAGCTGGCCTGGTTGGGAGTGGGTAGTGGTGCTTTGGTCCAGACACTGAGGTTCTTATGGACTCTTCCTCTGCCCCCTTTTTCCAACTACAACCCTTCCCACCCACACCTGCCACTCCAACCTGCCATTCATGACTGGAGCAGCTGGAGAACCTGGTTTACTACAACCGACTGAAGAACTCAAAGATCGTCATCAGTGATTTCCACCTGGCTAAGCTAGAGAATGGCCTCATCAAGGAACCCTGTGGAACCCCGGAGTACCTGGGCAAGCAGGGGATGGGAGGGCCAGGGTGGGAGATAGCCTTCAAGGTGTAGCTCTGTCTGAGTAGCGGGGAAGGGCTCTCCCATTCCAGGAAGCGGGTGTGAGTAGTACCAGGTCTGATATTGACTGAAGGTAGATGCTGTGTTTACAGCCCCAGAAGTTGTGGGCCGGCAGCGGTATGGACGTCCTGTGGACTGCTGGGCCATTGGAGTCATCATGTACATCCTGTGAGTGAGTGGGTGGGCAAATGGGCTTACAGTCAAGCCAGTGGGGGCCTGTGTCCAGGGCCTTCCTGGTAAACCCCGTCCTGTGCCCCCTTCAGGCTTTCAGGGAACCCACCTTTCTATGAGGAGGTGGAGGAGGACGACTATGAGAACCATGATAAGAATCTTTTTCGCAAAATCCTGGCTGGAGACTATGAATTTGACTCTCCGTACTGGGATGACATTTCCCAGGCAGGTGAGGAGGGGTTCAGTCTGTGGGTAGAATAAAGGGTAGGTGTTGGGGACCTGTTCCAGCCTCCTCTGCAGGCCTCCACCTCTCCCACCCAGCCCATTTGTCACCTCCAGACACTGAGATGGGTTGTCTGTGCCTAGCCTCTCCCTGATTTTGTCCCCAGCCAAAGACCTGGTCACAAGGCTGATGGAGGTAGAACAAGACCAGAGGATCACTGCAGAAGAGGCCATCTCCCATGAGTGGTGAGCAGAGCCCCCGAGAGCAGGGCAAGAGGAGAGGCTGGCGTTCCCTTGGCCTCTGTCCTCATTCTCAGCAGCCCCATCCTTGAAGCCTTGAGTGGGAGATCTGGTAGTCTCTTGATCGTACATGGAAAAGACTGGGCAGAATTTGCACAAAGCCCCTCTCACGTCTGGACGTGCTTGCACCCTTTCCAGGATTTCTGGCAACGCTGCTTCTGATAAGAACATCAAGGATGGTGTCTGTGCCCAGATTGAAAAGAACTTTGCCAGAGCTAAGTGGAAGGTAAGGATCCAAGTGGCTCCCTTTCCTGGACTGACCCCAAGTACTCCTGGCACTCACAGTCTTTGGCCTGTATCACACCCCTACAGCCACACACAGGCTTGTCTCCAGCCATCAAATGTGGCTCTGGCCACTGTCATTACCTAAGCCCGTTTGCTGAGCAGTTGGGTCCTTGGCCCTGGGGTGTCCAGGGGCAGCCAGGGGCATCATGGAATGGTTTGGGTTTGAACTTTGCCAGTGAATGGATCCAGCTTCACAAGCCTCACTTGGAGCCTCTCCCCACTGTCCTCCTTTCAGAAGGCTGTCCGAGTGACCACCCTCATGAAACGGCTCCGGGCACCAGAGCAGTCCAACACAGCTGCAGCCCAGTCTGCCCCAGCCACAGACACTGCCACCCCCGGGGCTGCAGGTGGGGCCACAGCTGCAAGTGGAGCTGCCCCAGGCCTTGGGGCCAGTGCCACCCCAGCCACGGCAGGTGATGCTGCTCTTGCCGCAAAGAGTGATAATGCAGCTCCTGCAGACCGTAGTGCCACCCCAGCCACAGATGGCAGTACCACCCCGGCCACTGATGGGAGTGTCACCCCAGCCACAGATGGGAGCATTACCCCAGCCACTGATGGGAGTGTCACTCCAGCTACCGACAGGAGTGCTACTCCAGCCACTGATGGGAGAGCCACACCAGCCACGGAAGAGAGCACTGTGCTCACCACCCAAAGCAGTGCCATACCAGCCACCAAGGCAGCTGCCGCCCCTGAGCCGGCTTTGACCCAGCCGGACAGCACAGCCCCAGAGGGGGCAACAGGCCAGGCTCCACCCTCTAGTAAAGGGGAAGAGGCTGCTGGCTCTGCCCAGGAGTCTCGGAGGGAGGAGACCAGCTGAGTGGGCAGGCTGGTGAGGGAGGGGGGAAGAGGGAAGAGGGATGGGCAGGAGGGTGGGGAAATGGATGAGGGGCTTCTCACTGTACATAGATTCACTGGCATGATGCCCTCGCTCCCCCCGCCCATGCTGCCCAGAGTGGGGCATGCCAGGGGGCCACGGGAGAGCAGTCTCATCTCCTGTGTATATGTATGTGAGTGGCGGGCAGGCCAGAGGCAGGGTTGGCCCAGCCCCTGCATGGATTCCTTGTGGCTTTTCTGTCTACTGCTAGCTTTACCAGTTTCTGTTCCTTGTGGGATGCTGCTCTAGGGATATTCAGGAGGTCCCTGCTTCCCTTCCTTTGCCTCACAATTCCCCCAGGCAGGCCCTGTAGGTCCCATCCTCTCCCAGGCCCTAAACTTGGGTGGCCTTGCCCTGAGAGCTGGTCCTCCAGCGAGGCTCTGTCAGTGGCTTTAGGCTCTGGCATGTAAAGGTACGTGCCTGTGTGAAGGTATGTTGGCTGCTTTAGTAGACACAGGCTGGTATACAGAACACAAAGATGTAGGACACTATGCTTTAAGACAAGACTGGTCACATGGCTGGGAGCACTCTTTGGTAGCCATGGGGGTCCTTAGAAGTGGAAGAAAATGAGTAAGAGGGCAGAAGCTGCTATCTTTGTCCCTGGGAAGTGCTTCCCAAGACCCTTGTATTATTTCTTGCCCTCCTGAGTCCTGCGGTGGGTTTGCCTTGTGTCCTCAGCTTCATGAGCTTATTGGAAGGAGGAGCAATTAGCATGTGGCTATGAGAACAGGGAGGATAGAGTGTCAGCCCAGCACTTAGTGTACCAGCCTAGCTGGGCCCTTACTCTGAGCCAGACAGGGAAAGTTGTCTGGCTTTTGCTTGTTCCAGATGCCCCCCATTGGGCTCAATCCACAGTCCTTGCTATCCAGGGGTCTGGCACATGGCTGTGTCCCATAGTCCAACTTGGAGGTTTGCCCTCACAGGGGCAGATTTTCTGCTCTCCCAGGTCAACAACAAAATTGAAAGGAACCGCCTCTATATGTATGGCCCACTTCCCCTTCTTCAGGGTTTAAAGAGATGCCCAGGTGCCTCTAAGCCATGCTGAGATGCTTTGCTGGGCTGAGGAAGTGAAATAAGTCTCCTTAGTTTCCTGATGGAGGCTCCTGGCAGGTGCCCTTTGTCAGACCACACCACAGCCTGGGCAGGTAGCCACACAAGTTCTGGCCCTTGCTCAGCACTCTGGTGGTAGTTCTGCCCTTTTCCCCTGCATGCCTGTGGGTCTGCTCTGATGTATGAAGGTCTGTGGGCTGTGTGCCTGCTGAACCTGGCAAATAAATGTCACCCTGCCAAAGCCTCTGGCCACCCTCTTGCCTTTGCTTCCTCTCTTACTGGGAAGGGGACTGTGGAAGGTAGTGGAAAGGGGAGAAGCTGAGCGTAAGTTCACAGGTAGTGAGTGGCCTGTGCTCAGTACCATGTGGCTCGTTTGGACTGAGTGCAGATCATCCTCCCCACAGTTTGTTCCTTGATGGCGGTGATGGGGTTCCTCTGGACTGGAAATCTACAGGGACGTTGGGTGTACTAAGGAATAACCTCTGGGCTGCTATTCTAACAGTTTTGTTGAACAAGGAACCCTTGTCCTGAGTGAGGCATTGAACTGGAACCCAGCAAGAGCCAGTCACCATAGATCCTGCCCATGGTGAAAAGTGGGCTTCACTGGGTCAGGGAGAAGGTGCAGGATGGGAATTGCACAAAGGCTCTATGCTACCCTTTAGTGATGATTCCTCCCATCTGTGAATAACACCACCTGAGTTTTCCACAATAGACCCCAAAGGACTTCTTTCTGGGTCTCCTTTGGCTAGAACAGATTAGCTTTATATTATAGGGCTCTCCAGAAGATTTCGATTTCTTCTGGAGAGGGGGAAGTAGTGCTGCTAAAGTAGTAAGCCTAAACATGTTAGGAAGACTTTACAACCCAATGGGCCCAGATGAACTCACCAGATATCCTATTCTTAATTAGGGAAGGTGGTCAAGATAACTTCTCCATGGTTTCTTTTAAAGGGGAAGTTTTCAGGGCAAAGGAAATTTTCTTGAAGATGTTTTGCATCCCATAACTTAACATTAATGCTCACTGATGGTCAATACGATCCTTTTTCAGTGAAATAAATCCAGATAATCTATGAGAAAACATTTTTTTGTTTTTCAAAAAGGGATTCGTTACATTTAGAACCCGTGTTTGTATACTAAAAAAGAAAAAGGGTTTGTTAGTCACTGGTCAGTGAAACATCTAAGGCCTCCAAAATTCCAACCCTACTATAGTCCTGAGACATAACTGATCCTCAGGGAGTTATAAAAAGAGCTAAAGTCGGTGTACCGGTAGGGAGTGGCATGCCTCGTTTGGACAAAGCCAGGGAGAACCTGGGATGCTCTGAGAGGTTAGCCCCTAGGACCATGTTTCTAGGACCACACAGCTGAAGGCTGAGAGAGTGTGGCATTCTTTTGGTCTGTGAGAAATATGGGCAGCCAGAGTACTGGGGGGTGACCCGCCCTCCGTCGGGACTATTGCCCCATTCCCTAGGGCCATGGTCTCCCCGACTCTACAGAGGTGCCATGAAGACCGCCCTGAGAGAAAAGGGCAGTAGAGCCCGGGCCCCGCCCGCCTAGCACCAAGCTGTGGTTTGGGGTCATAACTCTCTACTTGGCCCCAAAAGTGGCCGGGTTGGCGGCACAGAAGCTCGAGGTTGCAACCGAACGCGGCGCCCTCGCTGACTTACTGTAAATGGCAGACAGCTACAGAATCCTGCCCACTTCCCCAGGATTCTTTACGGCCGTCATGCCGACAGGCCACGCCCCCGGGGGTTGTCCAATCCAGGCCGACATTCAGGCTCCGCCCCATGTCCGTGTTGTCACTTCCGGCCTACTCCAGGAAGTCGCTTAGTGGAGCCAAATTTGAAGTGAGAGGAGACGCGGGTCTGCGGCTACAAAGCTGGACCGGTTGCGGTTTCCTTGGTTACCTGGGCTCATTGAGTCCAGTCATCATGCCTATCCGTGCTCTGTGCACCATATGTTCTGACTTCTTCGACCACTCCCGTGACGTAGCCGCCATCCACTGCGGTCACACTTTCCACCTGCACTGGTGAGTGACCTGTGTCGGGTTGAGCGCTCCTCTTTTCCCGGGAGGGTTACGGGACCGTGGGGTGTCCCGCCTTAGGACGATCTGTTTCCGAACGCAGACGCGTGAAGGACCGCTCTAGACGGAACCCCACTGGTAGTTTGTGGCCTGGGCGGTGAAGGGTCTGGCTAGGCCTCCCTCGGGAGCTGACAGCTGAGCAGAATCTCGGGGTGCGACTGAGTTGGTTCACTGAAGAGTAGGGACTCCTAAATTGGTTGTGCAAAGAAATGTCATTAAAACTATTAGCCGGGGCAGAGGTAAGTTTTAACATTAAGGAGCCGTTTTATGGTCTCTGGCTACCAGAGAGGAGGATTTGTCGTGATTTGCTTTATCTTTTAGAATGATTCTAATGATTCAGAATCATCTGGTTGTTCAGATACTGAGACCAGCAAAGCCAGGTTAAAACCTGAGCGACAGTGTGCTCCCTGATCAAGTCATCTTCCTGACCCTGTAGAAGCCAGCTGTTGGAGAAAGATTCTTGTAGCGTCTGTGGACATGTGGATTTTGAGCTCCTTTTTTTGTTTGTGGGGTAGATATACATAATATAAAATTTACTATTTTAACCATTTGCAACTGTACTGTTCAGTGGTATTCAGTATGTTCACAATGCTGTGTAACCGTCACCACTATCTATAGTAGTGTGTTTTCTGTTATTCTAAACTTGTTAAATTGTAATTCTCCTTTCTCCCAGTTGCTGGAAACCTCTATTTTATCTTCTGTTTCCATGAATTTTCCTGTTTTAGATCCCTGATAATATGGTGGCTGGAATCATACCTTACTTTTTACCTTGGGTTTGGTTTATTTCACTAAGCATCGTGTTTTCAAGATTCAACCATGATGTGTATCATATACCAGAATTTTATTCCTTTCTATGGCTAAGTATATTTAGTTGTACAATATCACCTTTTGTTTATCCCTTCAGCTATCAGGGGACCTTGAGTTGTTTTCATGTTTTTATTTGTGAAAAATGCTCCTGTGAACATTGGTGTACAAGAGTCTGAGTCTCTGCTTTCATTTTTTTTTTTTTTTAAACTGGGGTATAAGCCAGAGGTGTGTGTGTGTGGGGGGGCTGGTGGTGAGATGGTTCACTAGAAACAGAGTAGGGAACAGAACAGGTGGATTTACTGAAATACAGTGCTAAGGAAAGCAGGAGGCATGACAGGAGAGGACTGCTGCACCTTGTGTGCCTTAGTTCCTGCCAGGAATCGAACTCAAGTTGTAGAGGTGGTAGCGCTGAGACTTAACCCCTCAGCTACCAGGAGACCCCTTCTTTCATTTCTTTTGAGCTATGTGGAAGAGCTGGATCATATGCTAACTCTACATTTAATTTTTTGAGAAACCGCTTTACCGTTTTCCTCAGTGACTGTACCATGTTCTATTCCCAGCAGCAGTGCACAAGTTTCCAATTTCCACATCTTCACCACAACTTATTTTCAGTTTCTTTTTTTTTTTTTAAATAATGGTCACCCTAAAAGATGTCTTTCTTTTTCTTTTTTTTAAAGATTTATTTATTTATGCATACAGGACTGGGGTACAGGCCCGAGATGCAGGGGCAGTGAGAGGATTCACCAGAGACATAGTGGGGAGCAGAACAGGCAGATCAACAAAGTACACTGCTGAGGGGAGCAGGGGGCAAGTCGGGAGAGGTCTGCCACGCCACATGGGTCACCTGGGGGGCATCAAACTCATGCTGAAATGGCTTTAGCTTCTTAGTGCTGCGCTTTAATCTGCTGGGCCACCAGGGAGGGCTAGATGTCTTTTTTAATATGTGTTTACTGCCATCAATTAGCACTGCTTAGGCTAATTCTGGTTTGTTGTATTTTCATTCTAACTCATCTCAAAATGATCACTAGATGCCTAGTGGTTTCTTAGTAGGTTAAAATCAAGGTGTAAGTGGAATTGTACCTTCTGTGGTTCCATAGTCCCTTTCTCCATCTTCAAATCCATTTATCTTTTATGTTCATTTCTCTCTGTTCTTCCGCTTAACACTCCAGACTCACTTTCTAGGACCACTGTGATATATGGGGCAAGTCTGGATAATTGCTCCGTTTCAAGAATCTTAACTTAATCATATCTGCAAACATACTTGTAGTATAGACAGGCGTTATTCTACCTAATTCTTTCTGGAGCTCCTAGTTATATATATGCTAGACCTTTTCTCAATATCTCTTGTGTTTCTTATCATCTTTTACATCATTTCCCATCTTTTAAATTCTCAGTGTTTTCTCTGACCTAGCTTTCAGCTTACTAATTCTTCAACTATGATGCTATTAAACTCATCCATAGAATTCCTAATTATGACCATTTTTCCAATTTTAGAATTTTTGTTTGGTTCTTGTTAAATTCTGCTCAGTCACCCTTTATTTTCTAATTCTCTACTGATAGCTTGACCTTGATTATAATCATTTTAAAATTTTTAATTCTTTAACATAACATATTATGGTATATGTCTAGTAATTCCAATATCTAACTCTTTGTAAATATGATCTTGGTTTGCGCTTGTAGTACTTTTTTCTTCTGTGAAGGAAAAAATATATATTATTATAACAAATGTATAGCATGCAGAATTTTTCACACACCATACACTCCTTTGTGCCCAGAATTCAGACAAAGAAACAGACACTGGCATTCTGGAAGCCTCCTCATGCACACTTTCCATCATTCCCACCCATTTCTTTCTTCCCACACATAAGGGTAACCACTATCTTTGTAGTACATAGATAAATTTTGTTTATTTTTTTACTTTTTGTAAATGTACACATACACCATATGCTTTCTTTTAAAACCTGGCTTCTCTTCCTCGATGTCATGTTTATGTTATTCATCCATTGTTCTTATAGGCACACTTGTTCTCATTGCTTGGTAATTTCCCATCCTACATGATTAGCTTTGATTATGTATTATATATAGTACTTGAGGAATTATTTACAGAAAAAAATATTTGAGGCGTAGATTAATGGTATCATCTTCCAGAATTGATCCCTTTTCTCTCTGGCCCCTGAGGGTAAGAGTCAACTAATCAGAGACTACTTTAAGTTGGAGATTTTGTTGGACCACCCAAATAGATGATGCAAAGCTGAGCTTTGTTTTTCATTTATTGCTACTTGCTTTTACTTTTAGTTTACCTTTACTTGAAAGTGTAGCCCTTTGGGAGTTCCAGATTAAAGTAGGGGAATTATTAGAGTTTTCATCTCTGACTGATCCTGAGTTTTGACCATTGCCCCCTAGTTAAAGAAGGTTAACAAAAGGTCAGCTCCGGAGTAGACAAGGCTAAGTTAGCAGGTTATTTAAAAAATGAAAAAAAAAAAAAAAAAGGGACCAAACTGCTCTGAGTGCTTGTACCAGTTAGTTCTGTTCGATGTGCATTCACTCTTGGTGGTTCTGCTCTGTTGCATGGGAGAAGAGCAGAACAGACCCCATTGTGGTCAGGGAAGTTACTGGTCTATAGACCTGTACTCAAGCCAGGGCTCACCAGCATGTTTTTCTACTTCTCATTCTAGCCTAATTCAGTGGTTCGAGACAGCACCAAGTCGGACTTGCCCCCAGTGCCGAATCCAGGTGAGGATGGTGGGGTAGAACCACTGCAACTGGAAATGGTTTTTCCTTGACAGAGAGTGGGAATGAGGAGAGATCTCTGAAACTGATCAAGTGTTTTTGACCTTTTTGGACCCTAACTGTTTGAGACTGGTTGAGCCTCACGTTTGCCTTTGAGTGGCCCCGAGGCCTACTTATGCTCCATGGTAGCTGGCAGGTGTACTTGTTACTGGGACTATCTTCACCTGGGTAGATTTGGCTTCCTTCTCTGGTTTCTCCCATTTCCTTAATGCCTCATACATAGAGCTGGGGTGCCTTTTCAGTAGTCACTACATGGGTCTGCAGTGACATAACTTCAGTAACCAGCAAACCAGTGGCTCTGGCTGGGCGACTTACATAGTTGCAGTGGTCATCTGAGAGGTCAGGCCTGAGAATAGCCTATCTGCAGGGCTCCACATACTGCCCTGTCTTCCTTGCCCCGATGCAGCAGGACAGTCATATTCTATCTTGTTCTCCGTTCCAGGTTGGCAGAAGATCCATTATCAATAAGCTCTTCTTTGACCTTGCCCAGGAAGAGGAAAGTGTCTTAGATGCAGAATTTTTAAAGGTAACTGGGATTTACCTCACTCTGCTGAACTACAATCCATCTGAGAGATCACTTTCTGCTCCTATCCAGGGAAAGTATCTAGATGGCATTCTGGAAGGAGACTTGGTAAAGGAATAGGCCAGGAGAGCAGAGGATAAGCCATAAGACCCAGTCATTGAGAAATACACAATTAGGGATGAAGGGAGCAATTTTGCTGTGAATCCTCCCCTTGGGACTTCAGGGCCTATCTGACCCAAGGGCAGATTTCCTCACCCTGAGTTCTCCTCACCTTGCAGAGGGTCTGTAACCATCGTTCTCAGCCCATTTACCTCATGGAACAATTAGAGACATTTCAGCCAGACAAGCTGTATGGACCCACCGAAGTTCACACACTTGGCTATGCCTGAAAACTACCCAGGGAACATAGTATAGCCAGGTGCCTGGTCTCTCCCAGACAATCTCTTGGCATCAAGTTGTACAGCCAAAGCAGAAACCCACACTACAGGAGAGGATGGACTTCTGCTGCTTCCTTTCCAAGTATAAACCTTAACTTTGTGGATAAGAGGGCTTATCCACAAAGACCTCTTGCGGAAGCAATACTGGAGCTCTCAACCGAACCTGGCTTCCAATGGTTAATTTCCTGGGCATCTGTTAGATCAGGGTCCTGTTTGACCTTCTCCCCATCTTCTATGATGTGCCTGGAACTTCACTGCTTCAACACATAAAGCTTTTGTGTTTAGAGCCAGTATGTTCATCATCATGACTGTCCCCAGTTCCAAGGCATGACCTCTGTGATAAAAGCAATAAAGGCAGCTTCATTTCTTTTTGGCTTTCAAAGCCAGATCTGGGAGACAGGGGGATGCAACATCTTCAGTGGTTTGGAGGAAGGGCTAGGAAGGTACCCTGTTTAGGTATAGAAAGACCCAGATGACTCAAAGTAGACTAGGGCTAGAGTCTGTTGTCAGGCAACCCATGGATGCCTTTCTCTACCCATCACTTCCACTTCCAGGTATTCTGTTACAGACCAGAGCAACCACCAAAAGCTCCTACCCCCAGACTCCGGGGTGGGAAGTTTGAATTTAAGAGACACGTCACCCACTGGGGTAGAGCCTTAGTAATAGTCACATGTGAGACTCTGAGTCTTGTATTGACTTGGGAGTGGTGATGTGGAGGAGGATTTGCCTGGATTTCATCCAGCAACCACTGTGAACCCTTGGCTAAGCCCTTCGGTTCTGCAAAGCCTGGGTTTTTTTTGCTTATAAATTAGCCACCTCTCTTCCCCACAGGAGTGTTGAATGCTTTGGACTTTTACAAACACTTTTTTTTTTTTTTTTTTTAAAGATTTATTTATTCGTGCATACAGAACTGGGGTACAGGCCAGAGGCTCAGGGGCGGTGAGAGGCTTCACCAGAGACAGAGTGGGGAGCAGAACAGGCAGATGGCGAAGTACACTGCTGAGGGGAGCAGCGGGCGGGTCAGGAGAGGTCTGCCACGCCATGTGGTCACCTCCGGGGCAGGCGGGAGTCGAACTCATGCGGAAGCAGCTTTAGATTCTCAGTGCTGTGCTTTAACCCGCTGCGCCACCAGGGAGGGCCTACAAACACTTTTTTAAAAGATTTTTTAAGTTTTGCGTAGAAGAACTTGTGTATAGGCCAGAGGTGCAGGGGTAGAAGGTGAGAGGATTCACCAGAGACAGAGTGGGGAGCAGAACAGGCAGATCCACGGAAATACACTGCTGAGGGGAGTAGTGGGTGAGACAGGAGAGGACTGCACCATGTGGGTCTGCTCACTGGCCAGGGAATTGAGCTCTGGCTGTAGATGTGACAGTGCTGAGATTCATCCCCTACGCCATAAGGAGGCCCTTCTGAATGGAAACTGGCTGAGTTACGCCCCTGCCTCTCAATGGATCTGTGGCAGTCACTTTGGAAAGTATGCCTTGCCTTTGAGAGGCTCATTTAACCCAGTTTAGAGCCTGTGAGGTTTCATCCAGGGAGCAAAATTGTCCTGGTAGCTCACCTTACCCTATTTGATTCTGGGACTAGGAGGCTTCTGGTCCACAAAGCCAACTTAGAGAGTGTACACTGCGAAGTGGCAGGCTCCAGGGTAGCGGGGGAAGGATGGTGGCTTCGGTCTTTGACCATCTCAACTGTGACACCAGTGAATGCAACTGATGCTCAGACAGGGTAAGAGCCAGCACAGGGCCAAGGACGTGATGGAAGCCCCTGCTGACTGATCACAGAGGCCCGACCCCATTTCTTTTGCCCCTGTTCTGCTTCTTTTCTTGTGCTGGGGTCTTGCTCCCAAGGTTATTTTCTAACATTGTACTTACTTTAATTAAAAACATACACACACACACACACACACAGAGCCCTCTCTGGTGGCACAACAGGTTAAAGCACAGCACCGCAAGCTGGCTGCAACCACTTCAGTGTAAGTTCGATCCCTGCCCCGGAGGTGATCCAATGGCATGGCACACCTCTCCTGACCTGTCCACTGCTCCCCTCAGCAGTGTGCTTCTTTAGTCTTCCTGTTCTGCTCCCCACTCTGTCTCTGGTGAATCCCCTTACTGCCCCACACCTCTGGCCTGCACTCTGGTTCTATATGCATAAATAAAAAAATCTTAAAAAAAAAAAAAGACAGTGAGGTCCAGCTAGGCCTTGAGGTGTGGGCACCCCTGGATCTATACACCTCTGTCCCTGCTGAGCCTTCCCACAAGCCTTGGAGGAGGCTGTGTGGAGGCAGCAATGATGCTGCCTTCCTCTGTTTATTGTGGATATTGCCTTACAGAATGAACTGGATAATATCAGAGCCCAGCTTTCCCAGAAAGGTAAGTTAGCAAGAAATAAGGGTCCCTAAGAAGCTCCTGCTTTGGTGCTAGAGGGAGGCTACGGGAGGAAGACCTATAACCCTCGGCAAAGCCAGGGACTCTTCCAATTTTATATGTCCAAGAGTCTTGGCAGCTCTGTGCTTGGCAAAAAGGAGGAGAAAGGTGACTGTAGACATTCACCTTGTCCAGGTGAGCCTCTGCTCTTTACCTGAGCTTCTTGTCTAGGACCCAGACTGGAAGGGGGTTATCTGATAGGACAGAATATTTGTAGGAGACAGGTCAACCAGAGTTTGGCTGGAACCAAACTAGCTTGAGATCTGGGATGATTAACTAGACCCATGGGAAGCAGTAAACAGTTACACAAGTGATTTCTGGCAATAGAAAGAGGAACTCATTCCCTGAGTGGAATGGCTTTTACTCTGCTTCCCTTGTTTGGTGCCAGAGGTGGGCAGCCCTCTGGCCTGAGACTTGTTCCTAGCCTGCCTCATGGTGGGTACTAGAGGCCAAGGGCCCAGGTTTTCAGGCTCATGGTTAGACGCGCCTTTCCTCATCTCCACCCTTCACCCCTACTATAGAGAAGGAGAAACGAGACAGCCAGGCCATCATTGACACTCTGCGGGACACTCTGGAGGAGCGCAATGCCACCGTGGAATCACTGCAGAAGGCCTTAGATAAGGCTGAAATGCTGTGCTCCACCCTCAAGGTGGGTCCCCACTTAATATGGGCACAAGTTGGTGAGGAGATGTAACAAGTCCTGGGCTCACCACTCTAAGCTTATTATCTACTCCTGCCTTGGTCAGTACCTTGGTTTATACAGTTTTAAAATGGAGGTGAACCTCTTCTTCCCCAGGTCTCCAATAGTGTATTTATCCATAAGAAAAGGGCCGTTTTGCATATGTGTATGGCTGTGCACACCATGGTTTGGAGAGCTGAGGCCTTCCCAGCGCTTCATGGAGGGGCTGCCCTGCCAAGACCCGAGTGAGGCAGGACCATGTTCCCAAAAGTGGTTTGTGCTCTACCTATGATGCCACTCAGAAGAACCTTCTCTTAGCACAGTAGTCCTTCGTCGGGCTGCTTTCTGGAACTGGATCAAACAACATCCCAGGGAGGAGCAAGGGCCCTTTGAAGTCAGGTATGCTGAGCTGACCAGGCAGATCAAAGCCTGCAGAGCAAGCAGCTCTAGACCCAGATGAATTTTGTATCAGCCTGGGTTGGTGAGCCTCTTGCTCTCCAATGGCACGAGGCTATTGCTCTGAAGTCACAATTGATATTCTGGCCTTGTAGGCAGGAGCAGTCCTTACTGGATGGCCTTTGAAAGGGAAAGGGAGCCCTCCTTGTAAACAGACAGGACCCCAGGGTGTTCATTGTCTCTGTTCCTCCTTGGTGGCCGAGCTGGGTCGTGGGACCTGTCCCTTGGGAGGGTGGACGCAAACCAGCACCTAGCTGTGGAGCAGGAGTGTCTAATGGTGTTCCCAGAGATGGAGTAGTCTTGGGCTGAGGGCAGCTTAGCCAGCTGCTGCCGACTCAGCTCTCCTATCCTGGCAATGCTGTGTGGTTGTGGGTGGTGGAGGGAGAAACCTGGATTTGTACACCGGGCATCTTCAGAATTCTGCATGGACTGCACCATGAGGCCAGGTCACTGGACCCTGGCAGCCCAGATGAGCATGTAATAGGCTGTGGGCTGTGCCTCTGATAAGATATACCTCAGAGGAACCAGACAGGGAGGAAAAAGAAGCAGTTGTCCTTGGACCTATTAGCAGAAAAATCACAAACCAGGGGGGAACCCAGCAGCCTGCAGGAGTTGGGGGCATATGGTTGTTCGCATTTTGAAAAGCGAGCAGTTCTAGGGTTGTAGTGTCCTAGTGACTACCCACGGCCACTGGGAGCCTGCCAGCAACAGGTCTGTGTGTGTTGGCTCTTTAGAAGCAGATGAGGTACTTGGAGCAGCAGGAGGATGAGGCCAAACAAGCACGGGAAGAGGCTCGCCGACTCAGGAACAAGATGAAGACTATGGAGAGGTGAGCTTGGGGCTTGCGCCTGCCCCGTGCTGACAGAGCCACCTAGGTAGCCAGGACCACTCGGTGGCACATCTCAGGATAGCAGCAGGGTTTGGGTCACTTTCCATAGGCTGCAAAGCGGGGTTTGGGCACAGTCTCCTTTCTTAGCTCCTGTGGGCTCCGCTACTTTCCAGGGGGACCCTGCCCACATTCCTTCCTGTCCCTGCTGCCTCTGGCCAGACGGCCTGGCAGGCCTTCTGTTCTAAAAACGTTTCTCCTGAGATCCCAGACCTTGAGACCCTCTTTCAGCACCCCACTTCCCCAGCAGCATCCCTGCAGCTGTGCTTAGCTCTGCTCCGGGCCTTTCCTTGGACAGACCCGCTGCTAAAGCATCCTAGCAGCCCAGGCTGTCACCATAGCAACAGCAGCAAAGAGAGGCAGCGCTGTACTAGGTACCTACCCGTCAGCCTCCAGATTTGAAATGCCGTGGGCTGGGTGTTTTTCAGGATTGATCTCCTGCTTCAGAGCCAGCGGCCCGAGGTGGAGGAGATGATCCGAGACATGGGTGTGGGACAGTCGGCGGTGGAGCAGCTGGCTGTGTACTGTGTGTCCCTCAAGAAGTGTGTACTCTGGTCCCTCTCTCTGAGCCTAGGAGCCAACCCATGACACCCCAACCCTGCCTCTTTGTCTGCTTCCCATCTGGTGAAGTAGAGTAGGTGCACTCACGGACCGAGCTCTAGAGCCATGCGGCTCTGTACAAAGCCCTGAGCCCACCTCATGTGTGGCCAGGAGCCCGTTTCTTTGTCTCTCGGGCCCTCAGCGTCCCCATAGATAAAGTAGTAACAGTGCTTCTAGCGTCGTTGAGAGACTTAACTATGAATCGTAAGTATTATTTCCAAGGAGACTGGCACAGCTGTCTGGACTACAGCCTCACCGTGATCTTTGGGATCTGACCTGCCTGGCTGGCATGCAGAGCCTTGCTGGGATTCTTCACTACTTTGGGTGTAAGGTTGGGAAAGGGGCCACTTGGTTGGCAACATTGAGGATCCCAAATGCCTCCGGTAGGGGCTGGATGGTATACGGGGCCCCCTAGTGGGACCAGGGCTTCCTGCACACCCTCTAAAATCCTGTTTTCATGCTAGACAGGCAGGAAACAAACGTCACTGGTCACTGGGCGCAGGACCTCCTTGTCCCTGTTGGGCTCAGGTGTCAGAGCAGGAGTGCAAATTGGCTGAGGGCTTGGACTGGGTTTTGTGTTCAGTTGGTGCTATGGCTCAGTCTGATGACCAGGGACTTGTGTTCTGATACCTCTTTCTGTGGTCCCTTTGCAGGGAGTACGAGAATCTAAAAGAGGCACGGAAGGCTTCAGGAGAGCTAGCTGACAAGCTGAGGAAAGACTTGTTTTCTTCCAGAAACAAGGTAACGCAATGGCGAGCACAGGGTGAGGGGGGAAGTGACTGGCCGTGCTCATTTATGTCTTCTGAGCACGTCCATGAGACCTCAGAGCCTGGTTACTGGTCCTTACTGGGCATTGACTCTGATCAACTGGGCTGTCCACTTAGAGGAGAAGATCATGAAGGGACTCCTCCACCCCCACCCCCAGCATGTGAACACTTACGCTCCCCTCTACTGGGTACCTAAACTGACTGGAGAGCGCAGTCCCGAAAATGCTGACTTCAGAGGCCTGAAGTACCAGACCCAGGGTGGGAGGGCCCTTGGAATCTGATCCAGTCAGCACAGCTGCCTTCATTTCTGCATGCACATCCCACTGCAGGGTATGGGAAGCAGCCCTTGCTCCTGGGAAGCTCTGGATGGATGTTGATGTTGCAGACAAAGGCCTAGCTCTATAGAGCTAGGATCTTCCTCCACATCCCCACATCCCCGTTTCTGGGCCCTGAACTACCCTGGACACGCTGTAGGGTAGGGGCAGGACATGTGATTGCCCCTTGGTTCACCCTTCCCTCCCTGTGTTGTAGTTGCAGACAGTCTACTCTGAACTGGACCAGGCGAAGTTAGAGCTGAAGTCAGCCCAGAAAGACTTGCAGAGTGCTGACAAGGAAATCACGGTGAGACATATCCCTGCCCAGACAGGAAATGAGGGTGTGTGTGCCCTCCAGGCTTAGGAGACTGGGCTAACCCTGCCCAGGAGCCTGTGTGCCAATCGGTGGTGGTTCTGGGCTCCTCTGGGCCTGTGAGGGTCAGGGTGTGGACCTGGGCTCTGGCCCAGTGTGGGCTGCTCAGCACAGGGCTACCAGCACAGTGGGCCTTCCCTCACAGTCTGTCCTGAACTTACATCTGCGAGGTCACCAGACAAGGGGGCCACCAGCAAGGGATTCTGAGGCTGGGTGGTCCTCAGCTCCTGAGCCTGATGTAGCTGCAGGCCTTGCTCTTTTCTCTGGGGACTTCCCCTTTGTGGTATTCCAGTTGTCCTTGGAATTCTTTCTGGAGTTGATGTCTCGGCCTTTTTTTTCACATTCTTCTCTTTTCTTTCTTAAGAGTCTGAAAAAAAAGTTAACGATGCTACAGGAAACCCTGAACTTGCCGCCAGCGGACAGTGAGACTGTGAACCGCCTTGTTTTAGAAAGGTTTGTTGACCCTCTTTGGTGGTGCAGCTGGAAGAGCCCTCTGGTCAGTGTGTCTGCTCCTGGCTTTAGGGTGGGTGGGCCACATGGGCCTGATGGCTCTGGACTTCCTCCTCTGGAAGACAGCGGAGCTTTAGCTGGAAAACAGCTTTGAGGCAACTTTTGGACTAGGACAGGGAGAAACCAGGGTGGCCCAGAGAGGACCTCGGTGTGGTCTAGGCAGGGGAAGGCGCACAGGCTTTCTCAGGCCCTCCTCAGGCTCCTGAAATGCACCTGTGGGCCCAGACTCTGAGACCGACATGAAACCACTCACCAAAATAATTTTGCTCAGGTTCTGGGAATGTGTGCGCACGTTTAAGCGGCCAGCAGAGGGAGCCAACAGGCAGCGATGTGTGTCCCTGCCAGGTGTGCCTCCCTTTTCTCCTCCTCTTTCACCCGAGACATCTATCTGGCTGTGTCCTCATGGCTGCCCCCACCTAGCTGCCCAGCTTGTGGCCCAAGCAGAAGGCACACAACCCAGTGACCCAGTCTTTTTTTTGAGCCACTTTTTTTTTTTTTAAGATTTATTTATTTGTACATACAGAACGGGGGTACAGCCAGAGGCTCTGGGGTGGCAAAAGGCTTCACCAGAGACAGAGTGGGGAGCAGAACAGGCAGATTGATGAAGTACACTGCTGAGGGGAGCAGCAGGCAGGTTAGGAGAGGTCTGCCACACCATGTGGTCACTTCCGGGGCAGGCGGGATTCGAACTCATGCGGAAGTGGCTTTAGCTTCTCAGTGCAGTGCTTTAACCCGCTGCACCACCAGGGAGGGCCTTTTTTGAGCCACTTTTCATTGTCCTTTGGAAACCAGTGCATTCCCCCTTTCCCACCTCCAACCAGTTGCTGAAGCCAGCGCATCTAACTTCTGGGGCACCCCCTGACTTTCCTTTGCCACCACCTCCACTTGTCTGTCCAACATATCAGTCTTTGGGCGTCACGACACTCCCTGCCTTAACCAGACCTCCCAGACCCCTTGGCCCCATGAATCATTAAGGCCCTTTGTGAACCATCCTTGCGGGCTATACAGTGGATATTTAAACTTCAGACAAATCACACCACCAAACACAGAGGAACACTTCTTATTCAGATGCGAGGTCCGTGCCCTGGGCCACAAAAATACTTTGGAGTCTTATTGAACCTGGCATCATGGGATTTGGTCTACAGCTTCCAGTTGGGGGTGAACCCATTTAACTCTGAGTGAGTCCCGTGCCAGGGCCTGCAGCCCTGTAGAAGGACTGTTCTGGCCGCCCTGTCTTGCCTCTGCACACCCAGCATGTACGTAGCCCGCTGTGAGTACACTGGGAGCCAGACTGACTGCCAGCTTCCTTGCACACATGCTCCTTTCCACAGACGATACAGAGAATCTGCTCAGTGTGTGTGTGTGGTGAATGCATACAAGCCAGCTTTTTTCTCATTCTTTCACCTTTAATTCTTCAGTTTTATTCTTTTCATTCTTACCTAGGCGTCCTGCAGTTGTCTCTTTAAACTTTAGTTTGAGTTGGACTGACCATGGGCTGTGGCTAGGTGATGGGCTCATGATTCCATAAGGTCCGTTATGTGGTTGATCTTGGCGACTAGGTTCTGTTTCTGGTTCTTTGTCCCCACCCTCAGAGCCCATCAGCTGGACCACCCAAGAGCCCCCGTAACATGGAGCTCTGAGGAGCTTACAAGTTTAGTGGGCATCCTCAGGAAGCCGGTGGTCTCAGGACCTCCTTGTGGGTAGGACATACCACATCGTGGAATTTGGTCTATAGCTTCCAGTTGGGGGTGTACCCACTTAATTTTGAGTAAGCTCATGCCAGGGCTAGCAGTCGTCTTACAAGAAAGGCTGCTCTGCTCTCCTGTCTTTCAAGCCAGCAGGACACCACATCTGACAAGCCAGCATCTGTATGGCACTGAGCTGGATGTCTCGTCATGTTGCATCTGGGATGACTTTATTTTTTTTTTCCTCCTGTATTTTTCTGGACATAAACATTAGGGTAGCAGGTCTGTGGCTTTTAACATTAGCCCTTCTTAGGGCGAGGCACGGTCTGTTCTAAATTCAGCGTTCAATTCTAGGGTCCAAACTCTAGACTAGTTAATGCATTCTCAGCAGTTTTCTCATCTTCTTTGTGCTCTGATAGCAAGACCCTCAAACTACAGGTTCCTCAAAGACCCTCTCTGTTTCTTGCTCCATGACAGCTGTCTCCTAAGACAGGGGAGAAGCCTTAAGCTTTCATGACCTCAGTGGCACATTCCCTCAACCAATAATCAGATCTGCAGGAAGAGTAGTCCAGGTGCAGAAGCTAGTAAGCGTGGAGATGCTGAGGCATGACAGCTGAGTGTGCTAGGAGAAAGGGGCTGAGGGCCATGTCTCTAGCCAGCCCTGAGGCATGGATATTCTCTTGAAGACAATGGAAGCTGTTGGGGGTACTTGAGGAAGGCCTCTCTGGTGGGACTGATTTCTGCATCTCACCAGTTGCCTGAGTGCCCTCCTCAACATACACAGAAAAGTGAAGGTAATTAGGGGGTTTGATTTTAGGTGTTTCGTGTTGCTTTGGTATTTTTCTTTAATTTTAAAATGTGACTCCCAGGAATGCCTTGGAGAAAATATCTAGATTTACTCACAGAGATCCACTGTATTCCTCCTGCCACTCAGTGTACGTGGAACACATGACTCCTATCCACCCAGGCAGATACCTCAGTGTATACTCAGGGATGTGTCTATTTTCTACACTGACAGATAGGGGCCACCACTGATTGCAGGGCACAGAGGAGCAGGCAAGGCAGCTGACCTGGAACTCCCCAACACTTCCTGGACTGGACTCACTGTCTCTGACTTTTATATTTTCCTCTTTACTCCTTTGCTTTCCTAAAGTTCATCTCTTTTTTTTTTTAATTTAATTTAAAGAGCAGGTTTATTAGGGAAAAGGACAGAGGAGTAAAAGACACTTGCATAGGCACAAGTGGGAAGGAAGACCTGCCCCGAGAAAGAGACAGGCTTGCTGAGAGGCCTACATGGTTGCAGGTAGGCAGCCTCGGGGAGTGTGGCCTCCGCTGAGGGAGGTCAGTGAAGAGAAGTCCTGGCGTGGTGTAGGTCAGGCAGGCAGGAGGCTGCTGCCTAAAGTTCATCTTGAAATAATGTCCAAGGAAGGGAGCTGGACAGCTTGTCAAAATACCTTTCTTTTTATGGGAAAGATAGAAGGTAGAAAGGGAAGAAAGACACTTAGCAGAAAGGGAAAATAGGGTGTTTTGTTTTTTTTAAAGGATTTATTTGTTTATGGATACAGAACTCGGGTACAGGCCAGAGGTGCAAGGGGTGAGAAGATTCACCAGAGACTGAGTGAGGAGCAGAACAGGCAGACTGAGTGGAATACACTGCTGAGGGGAGCAATGGGCATGATAGGAGAGGCCTGCCGTGCCTTGTGGGTCACCTCCGGGGCCGGAGATGAACTTGCCCTGATTGTGGCTGGCTTGCAGTGCTGCATCCTAATCTGTTGCGCCATCAGGGAGGGCCCAGGTTATGTTTTTTTTTTGTTTTTTTTTTTTAAGTTCCCTATATTCTAGATACTAACCTCTTACTCGATACATGATTTGCAAATTTTTTCTCCCATTTTGTAGATTGCCGGTTTACTCAATTAATAATATCTTTTGATCCATGAAATACTTTAATTTTCAGTCAATCTTGTCTAATTTTTTTCATTTGTAGCCTACTATATAGAGTTTGGTATTGCTTTTTACATTTTAACATTTAAGCATTTACCCATGCTAAGTTTACTCTCCAGAAACAATATTTCACTATTTGTCTTATCTTCAAGGTGTAGAAGAGCCAGCCCCCGCTAGAGGTGACCTTTTGACAGTTTCTAATGTCATGCCATTTGTTGTGATAAGTAGCTTGAAAGGGACCTCCCTTTACACCAATCTCTGATGACTGACTCCTTACACTGTGTTCTGAGAAATGAGATTACTTGGTCAGAAGACAATTTTTTGTTTGTATATTTGGGTTCTGTATGGGTTTTTGTTTGCTTCCTTTCATGTGTTTAAACTTTCACTTATCCTGTGATTAAAAGACGGAACCAAGTAGTTGTTTTTTTTTTTAATAATATAATAGTTTGTTTTTACATCATTTTTTGCCTTTTTCCATCTTGTAATCCCTGTGGGCTTCCCATCACCAAATCACCCATGTGCCATCATCATAGTCCTGTGCACTTCCCCTTTCCCCATTTTTTATCCTATTTCCCTCTCCACCCCCATAAAATGTCTCTGGTATATAGTTGCTTATTATTTTTCCCCCTGGTCCTTTATGCTCCTGCTATGAGTGAAACCATCCAGTATTTTTCTTTTTCTTTCTGGCTTATCTCACTAAGCGTGATCTTCTCTAGCTCCATCCATGTTGCAGCAAAAGGCATGGGTTTATCTTTTTGATTGCTGAGTAATATTCCATTGTGTATATGTACTACATCTTTTTAATCAGGCATGTACTTTTGGGCATTTGGGTTGACTCCATGTCTTTCCTAGTGTAAAGAAAGCAGCAATAAACATGGGGATACAGGTGTCTTTCTGAATCAGTGTTTTTGTGTCTTTTGGGTAGATACCTAGGAGTGGGATTGCTGAGTCATATGGAAGCTCCATTTTTAGCAGTTTGAGAAACCTCCAGTTTTCCATAGTGAACCAAGTGGTTTTACTGTAGAGATCAGCCTTCCTTGCTGGGTCATCCTAAGCCAGGCATGGGCTCCAGACCCTTCAGTCTCAACCGTCTCTTATGCTTGACGGACTGTTGTCCTAGACTCTGTCTCTGTGATTCCGAGTAACCAGGCCATGTCTGCCTACAGCCCAGCCCCTGTGGAGATGCTGAACCTGAAGCTTCGCCCGCCAGCCTTCAGTGATGAAATTGACCTCAACGCCACCTTTGATATGGACACCCCTCCTGCCCGGCCCCCCAGTGTCCAGCATAGCCAAGCCAAGAAGCTCTGTGCAGAAAAGACATAGTAGGTCGTGGTCCCTGGTCCTGTCCCCAGCCTGGAGGGAGGATGGCTAAGAGATTTCTATAGCCCCTGCCCAACAAAGTTTGCGTGGTTGACAGGAGAGTGAGTGCCAGCTGGATTGGGCTGGGTTGCAGTCACTTCTTCCCTCTCCTGGACATTCACTGTTCAAAGCCCTTTTCTTGCTTTCTTAATGTTCATCGCCACCCTTCATTCAAAGGTTGTGAGATATGACTCAGAGAAAGTGGTTCCAGCAGCGGTAGCTCTGGCAGTGTGTGCTTTAATATCTCTGAACGTTTTTTTCCATTGTGTGCCTCTCAGCCTCATGCTTGAGGTAGGACCATCTCAAACCATGGAGCCCGGGGCCCTACCACCTCAGAGAGCTCACAGGGTTGCATGAGAAACGGTGGAACGCAGTGGGGCACAGTGGGACTGGGAATTGGGAAGTAATCTCCTTGGCTGGGCAAGTCAAGTGTAGTTGGTGATAGAGAAAACTGTTCCCACGTGTGCACATAAGTATCTACTGCCCAGGTGAGGGCAGCCAGCGCTGAGCAAGTTTCCTCTGAGTCAGACTTTAAACAGGAGAAGAAAAATTAAGATGTTAGACAGGGGCAGGGAGGAGACCCAGAAAGAAGCAAAAGGCAAAGTGAGCTGTGTTCTCGGCCCCTCCACATACCACACAGAGCCAGCGTGGGATGAGAAGCATACCCAGGGCATGCAGCTTGGGTTGCAGTCAGGGCCCCTGGAACCTGTAGGCTGCCAGACTTCTTAGAAAACACTTCTACCACTTTCAGAGGAAAGTGAGGGGGCCCACCATGGGCCCCTGCTCAGATCAGCCTGCCCAGATTCACACTCCTGTGGTTATCATGTGGCCTTACCACGGCCTTTGGGGCAGGAGTGAGGTGTCCAGAGTCAGCAGGCCCTGATCCTGCCTCTCTCATCATGGCTTGAGAAGCCACATTTCAGCTTTTGGTCACCATCTTCCCACCTACCATCTTCCCACATACCTATCAGAAGAGGGTATGTAGCATCTCACGTCCCCAGCAATTGGATGAAAACACGGTGTCCAGATCTAGAGCTGGAAGTGGGAGAGCAAGGCATAGGACCATTATTATGTCCCGGATCCTACCCACACAGACTAACAGGGAGAGGATTCACTTCCCGATCTCCTGGGAAAAGGCCAGGCCCGAGATCATTAGCTGCTTTCCGCTTACGTCAGGGCATAATTGGCTTTTCTCCTCCTGGTGGTGAATCAGTTGGACTCCTGGTTCTACGTCAAGCCTGGGACATGATGAGGTGCCTCTGATCTTGAGGTACATTGGAATTGGCTTGAACCCGAGTAGAAGCCATAAGGTCAGGGCCGGTCCAGCCCCAGCCTTGACCACTCTGGTGGCTGTGGACTTCCAGCTAGTCACAGGTCTGCACTGGAGTGGCAATCACTGAGGTGCCTTGACCAGCACTCAGCCATGACAGTGGTGGGCTTGTACTACCGCTTCTGTGTTACTCACCTGCCTCTTGCCTTTATGTCTCATGCTTGCAGCTCTCCTGTTCAAGACATTGCCAAGAAGATGCCCAAAAGCTCCAAGCAGGTAAGGTTTCTCCGAGAAGCTTAGATAATCAACCGTCTAACTCTTGCCAGACTGAATATGAAGTTAGACTTCTGCGAGGGCAGCGTCTTGCCAGAGCCTCCTCACCCCTCGCCTAGAACTGAGGCACTACGGAGCCACCCTTGGAATCCTGCTCCTTCCCTCCCTGCCTCCTGTTGGGGCATCAGAGATCCTGATCCTGTTCCATGGCCATTACCCACTCTCCTCTGCTGCCACCTCGCTTATCAAATGTGGCTCTGGGGTCACCCCTACAGGAATCCCAGCTCTCACTGGGCGGCCAGTGCTGTGTGGGAGAGCCAGATGAAGAGCTTGCTAGTGCCTTCCCTCTCTTCATCCGGAATGCAGTCCTGGGCCAGAAGCAGCCCAAGAGGATCCGGGTAGAGCCATGCCGAAGCACAGATGCTGTGAGTGGTTTCCTACAAGTGACAAGTGCCAGCCTTTGTGGAACTGGGTGACCAAACCCTCTAAGCCACTATAGTGTCTTACCCCCTCACTTCTTCCTTCTGCGTTAGGTAAGGACAGGCTTCGATGGACTTGGAGGCCGGACAAAATTCATCCAACCTGTATCCTTATATTGTGTCACTGGTCTGAACTGAGCTATAGAACCCACACCCTCACTCACCTGTACTCCAGACTCCGCCCAGTGGCTGCAGCCTCACCTGGAGTCGCAGGGCTGCCCAACCCGCCTCGGAATCTTTTCTGCCTTCTCTTTCAATCCCTTATTTAGAACCTCTTCCTTGACACCTCCTTCAGAGTGACATGACTATAATCCGTCCACTGCCTGTGAAGGCCAAGGCCAAGGCTAAGCAGAGAGTGGCGGCAAGGACACTCCTCCCTGCCTCCCAGGCCAAGCTCGACGCTTTCCTGTGGTAGTGAGAACGGCAGGTCTGTCTGGGCACATACATGCCTCTGACTTGTCAGCTGAGGACTGGCTCAGCAGAGCGTATGGGGGGCATGGCCCCTCTTCTAGAACCAGCCCCATGGGCAAGGATAGAGAAGACGGGGAGAAGGATGAGACCCAGAGACTGCACTCTCTGCTCCACCCTAGCTATACTGGACCTACTTGAGGTAGCAGATGTGACCAGCTCACCATTCCTGCCAGAGGACATGCTCTTGTTCTAGTCACCCCGGTATAGCCAAATGTGGCTATACCTTTGTCCTCCAGACCAGGACCTTTGTTGAAGTTAAGGTCCAAAGTGTTTTTGATGCTTCTCAGGCAGCTTTGGTCCAAAGTCTGCCCCTTCCCATACTTGCTACTAGCCACGGCCTGGGCCAAACAGGGTGGGATTGGGAGATGGTGGTGGGAGAGGATGTGGGGAAAATTTCTATGCAAAATAAAAAGACAAAATTTCTTCTACCTACCTCTGGAAGTGTAAATTTGTACCAACACTTTGAAAAAACATTTGGCAAGCTTTCTAAGGTGGTACCTTCATCTAGACTCAGAAATCGATTTCAATACCCTAGTTCATGGGTACACAGCAGTGCTCACAAGAGTGAGATCACTGCAGCTTTGCCTACACTCTCTAACAGGCACAAGAGGCCATAAGCAGCAAAGTGAGTGGGTAAACTGAGGACTAGCCTCAGTAACTCAGTTAGCCATAGGTAACTCAACAAATGTACTCAGCAAGCACAACAAATTACCAGTACCACCCATATCTCCCTTCCTGCCCTCCGAATTCTGCCAGTCAAATTGCTCGCAGTTCAACTCCTATCCAAAGAAAAATCCTGTCCAGAATAATTGAAAACAATTACTCAAATACACAGTCAAGAATGATTGTAACAGAAGATGTCAAAATATCTAAAAGGCGGAAACAACCCAAGTGTCCATCAACATGTAACGGTAAACAAAATGCTTTGCATACGGTGGGTGCTGTACAGCCACAGGCATGCTGACCCCGAGGCATGGCATGCTACATTTGAATGAGCTTCCAAAAAGATGCTACCTGAAAAAAAGCAGATGTCAAAGATCACATTTCTTATGGTTATGAAATATCCAGGACAACCAAATCCCTAAAGTGTTCGCCAGGGGGTCAGAGTGCAGGATGGGTAGTAATTATTTAATGTGGTCAGGCTGTTCGGGGGAAAGCAAAAAAGTTTTGAAGCTAGAGAGAGGTGGTGGCTACACAATGACGAAACAGTGACTGCCTCTGAATTGTACATTTTAGGATGGTTATCTTAATGTTACATGAATTTTACTTCAAGTTAAAACCAGAAATTGGGGCCTCCCTGGTGGTCTAGTGGTTATGTCTCAGCACATCATCCTTACAGCCTCGTTTGATCCCGGCCAGGGAGGTGACCCACATATGGCATAGCACACCTGTCCTGTCTTGCCACTGTTCCCCTTAGCACTGTATTTCAAAAAATCTACCTATCCACTCCCCACTGTCTCTGGTGATTCCTCTCATCCCCTGCACCTCTGGTCTACACTCAGATCATCTATGCAAAAAATAAATATTTAAAACAAGACTTTATGATAGCACCTGGCTTTGCTTATTGTGGAGCATTCTCCAGAAAACAGTTTTCAAGTTCCTAAGAAGGTATCCGTGGGTAAAGGGTATGCAGGATCTCTCTGGCCTGTTTTTGCAACTGCCTTGAATCAAACTATTTTGAAATCAAAGTTTAAATGAAAAAGAAGGACATGTGATCATGGCTGCCTCATGCCTCCCATTCTTAGGTCTGGCACTCAGACTTACTGTCCATTTTGAGTCCTGAGATTCATCCCCGGCAAGAGACGCTGACTGGTCACCCATTGCCATTTGTGTTCTGAGGAGCTGAGGACCAAGGAGGCACTCCCAAAGATGTTAGGTTTCACCCCAGGTCTGTGCTTTGGGCCACGGGGATGGGACAGTGTTACCCCACAGTCTCTGGGATGGGAGGAGCTCTACCCTGTAGGGTCACTAAGCCCCCCTGTAGGGGACAGCAGGGGCCCAGTGAGTTCTCACTGGAGTGCTACCAGCACTCTGGTCAGGAAGCCCATTCAGGCAGGAACAGCTAAGGGAGTCAGGGGCCTAAGGATTGGGACATCTAGAGAGCCACAGGAGGCCAGCCCACATGGGCGACTCAAAGAGAGTCACGGTCCCTCCACAAGCTTGGTTATACCCTGTCTGTGCCCCAGGGCTGCCAGAACTCACCATTGCTGGGCCAGGCTGTCAAGGAGGGTGGAGGCAGGGCCAGACGCTCGGACTTGGTCTAGTTTTACTTTCACTTTTGTTTTCCCTGAAATGACAGAGGAACCAGAAAGAAACTGACCAATAGTGTGCTTCCCTCCCTTAGTCTGTTTGCAGTTGTCATAGCTGGGCGCCAGCCTCCCCTGGCACTGCCTCCCACACAACAATCCCATCTCTAAAGGCTACAGCCTATTTTCCAACCTAAGCCTCAGGATGGATGTTCTGGCGACCTCCAAGTTGCTGGATGAGGAGCTGTACTCCCGGCAGCTGTGAGAGCTAAAGTGGTAAGGGGGTGGAGTGGCCTTCTGACCTCTCTTCTCCAATTGCCTACCTTCTTACTTCCCACCCCCAGGTGTGTGCTGGGCTTCCCAGCCATGCAGAGGATTCAGAAAGCCAAGGTCCTACTCTCAGGGCTTCAGGGCCTGGGGGCTGAGGTGGCCAAGAACCTGGTCCTAATGGGTGTGAGCAGCCTTACCCTTCATGATCCCTACCCTACCTGCTGGTCTGATCTTTCTGCTCAGGTGAGGGTCCTGGGAACTGGGGGTCCCCAGACCACTGTGGGGCTAGAAACCCCAAGAAATCTTGGGTTTCTCTCTGTAGTTTTTCCTCTCAGAGAAGGACTTGGAAAAGAGCAGAGCTGAAGTGTCTCAAGGACCTGTGGCTAAGCTCAATGACGCTGTTCAGGTCTGCGTCCACACAGGTGACATCACTGAAGACCTGCTACGGAACTTCCAGGTGCCTCCCAGCCCTACTCTCCAGCCAGTCTAGTGCCTCTTCGGGCCTGAAATGTGGGCTGGGCAGTAGTTCTGGCCTTGTTGATCATAATGTCCCTCCAGGTGGTGGTGCTGACTGCCTCAAAGCTGGAGGAGCAGCTGAAGGTGGGCACCTTCTGCCACAAGCATGGAATCTGCTTTCTGGTGGCTGATACCCGGGGCCTTGTGGGGTAGGTGAGACGGCCTGCCACATGTAGACAGCAACTGGTCCCCAGCTCCCAGCTTGTTTCAGTGTTGCTCTACCCAGCCCCAGACCTGCCCCAGCATCCACTCCTGATTCTGGTCCCAGTCCTCACCTCTGCTTCCTCCACCCTGGTCCCCAGACTTTATCCAGCAATTCCCTCACACCTCAGCTTCTAAACCTTTCCCAGCATTCCTTTTCCAGTTCTGGCCCTCAAGATTTGCCCTGATGTCCTCCACCCTTCATTACAGGGTAGCCCAGAGTGGACTGGGCCGCCTGTCTGTGGGGCTTCACCCGCGCGCTCACAATTCAGTTATATGGCAGGTACACACAAAAGGGTCAATAACTGGTTTATTTACAAAAGGGGAAAGGAATAGGAAACAACCCAGGGAAAGAGAGCAGGATACAAAGTAACTGGAATGTCTTATGGCTAGGCTGACTGAACACACCTAGTCACTGGGTCCAGAGAGCCGTTTCCCCAGCGAGAGTGAGAGATGCAATCGTGCCCTATTTATCCCCCAAATGTCCCAGAATTCCTGCTAGCTCCACCCTTGGGTCCTCGCAGTTCTCTCCCTGGTACTTCTGGGAGTTGTAATTTCCAATCACTGGAGTAGGGTGTAGGGTCCAGAAAGCTGGAGCAGGGGGTGGAGTCCATAAGACTCTGCAGAGTTCCTTTAGGACATCCTTCCCCTTAACACCTTCACTATAACCCATGGTGGCTAGCCATCAAGCCATCTCAGTGGCCCATACTTGCCCCCACAGGCAGTTGTTCTGTGACTTTGGTGAGCACTTCACAGTACAGGACCCTACAGAGACAGAACCCCTGACAGCTGCCATCAAGCACATCTCCCAGGTGGGTGCTAAAGTGTGGGCACTCACCTGCTGACCATCGAGGGGCTGCCTGAGCCTATGCAAAGGAGGGCCATGCACCTCTCAAACATGCTGCCTCTTATCCAGGGCTCCCCTGGGATTCTCACTCTCAGGAAAGAGGCTGATGCCCACCTCTTCCAAGATGGGGATTTGGTGACTTTCTTGGGCATTGAGGGCATGGTGGAGCTCAACGGCTGTGCTCCCCACACCATCTGCGTGCAGGGTAAGCCAGCCCATTGCCACTCCAGACTTGGTGTCCTGACCCTGGTGGACATAACTTGGTTCTTGGGGCTCGGTTTTTCCTCCATCTTCCTTAGGGTGGAGCAAGGTCAAGGACACAGACATAAAACAAAACAGGATGGGATGTAAAGAACTACTCAGGTTCAAAGGTTAAACTGACTGGGCTGGATCTCTCCCAGAGGACGGCACCTTGGAGATTGGGGACACAACAGCTTTCTCTCGTTACTTGCGTGGGGGGGTTGTCACTGAGGTCAAGAGACCTGAAATCGTGAGCCATGTGAGTACTGGTGTATTGGAAATGGGGGAGTGTGGGCACTTGAAAGGGCCCACAGTGTTTAGGCCTGACCCTAAGCACTCCGGGTGCTCCCCCCCCCGACCCCCGCAGAAGCCTCTGGATATATCGTTGCTCCAGCCCCGTTTGGTAACCCAGCGTCCCCAGGAAGATCATCGTGCTCACAGCCTGCATCAAGCCTTCCGAGCACTGCACAAATTCCAGCACCTCAAGGGCCGCTTGCCCCACCCCTGGGATCCTGTGAGTGACCCCACTGCCTTTCTTCCTGGCCGTACCAGGGTCTTACCTGCCAGGAGGCAACAATGAGCATCTCAAATCCAAGTTTGAATCCCAAATGCAGTTTCCCCACATGTAAAAAGGAGGATGATAAACATTATCTCCAGACAGGAGGCTGGGTGCATGAAAGTGCCAGGCACAAAGCCAGGGACTCCTCCTACCTCCTAGCCGTTCAGATCCAGGCCTGAAGCCGCACCCAGGTCAGCGAAGCCTCCGGGCCCATTGTTTGAGTGTCTGGCTCGGAGCATCCTTGGTGATACTCTACATTCTAGAAATGTTTCCACTCCCTCTGTGGGATGGGGTGGATGGCTCCCTAAAGGACTTGAGTAAGGGGTAGAGTTTAGGTTGGAGCTGCTATGCCCACAGCATTCTACCCCACAGGGTGATGCAGAGATGGTGGTGAACCTGGCCCGGGCCCTGGAACCACTGAAGGGCACAAGGGGAGAGCCTTTGGAAGAGCTGCTGGATGAGGCACTAGTGCAGACAGTCGCCCTGAGCAGCTCTGGTCACTTGAGTCCCATGGCAGCCATATTGGGTGCAGTAACTGCCCAAGAAGTGCTGAAGGTAGGTATGTATGGCACAGCCAAGGTCAGGTTGGGCAGGTTCCAGAGGTCAGTATGAGTGCCAGAGTGTGCCCAACACCAGACAGTGGCCCTGGAAGGTCCACCAACTTGGGTGCAGTCCCTGGCCAGTATCTAAGGGAATTAGGGGATGACAGGAGCTCCCCGACTAAAATGCTGGCTTCTAGGCAGTCTCCAAGAAGTTCAAGCCCCTGGACCAGTGGCTGTACTTCGATGCCCTGGATTGTCTTCCAGAAGATGGGAAGCCCCTTCCCAGCCCTGAAGACTGTGCCCCGGTGAGAAGCTGGGGTCGTGATGCCATTGAAAAACTGAAAGAACAGTGCCAAGATCCTGCCCTAGAAAATTCAGTGTAAGAGGGAGATGCTGTGCACAGGGCAGTAGCCATCACTGCCCTTTGTCTGTGTCCCCCAGAGAGGCTGCCGCTATGATGGGCAAATCGCAGTGTTTGGGGCTCATTTTCAGGAGAAGCTCTGCCACCAGCACTACCTCCTGGTGAGTTGTGGGGAAGAGTTGGGAGTTTTTGTTGGAGAGCCAGTTCAGGCCCTTTGGATAAGGCTGTTCCTGCTGGCAGGTGGGTGCTGGTGCAATTGGCTGCGAGCTGCTCAAAGGGTTTGCCCTCACTGGCCTGGGGACCGGGGACAACGGGGGCGTGACCATTGCTGACATGGACCATGTAGAGCGCTCCAACCTCAGCCGCCAGTTCCTCTTCAGATCCCAAGACATTGGGGTGAGTGCTGTTCCCTCCCGCACTGTGTCCTGGATTGTCCTTCCCCCTACCCAATCTCTCCCTGCTCTTTTCTCAGAAGCCCAAGGCCACCGTGGCAGCAGAGGCCGCATACCGCCTGAACTCAGACTTGAAGGTGACCCCATTCACTTACCCACTGGATCCCACTACAGAGCACATCTTCGGGGACAAATTCTTCTCTAGTGTGGATGGTGTGGCTGCTGCTCTAGACAGTTTCCAGGCCCGTGAGTGCTCAGCCTTGCACTTAGCCCTTTGACCAAGGCTGAACCAGGCCCACTCCTGACCCTCTGCCTACTTGTCAGGAGACTATGTCGCTGCTCGCTGCACCCACTACCTGAAGCCACTGCTGGAGGCAGGCACACAGGGCACCTTAGGCAGCGCCTCAGTGTTCATGCCACACGTGACTAAGACTTATGCAGCCTCGACCGGCACTGCCTCTGAGGATGCCCCCTATCCTGTCTGCACTATACGGCACTTCCCCAGCACAGTCGAGCACACCTTGCAGGTAGGCCCTGAAGAGCAGAGCGCTCCCCCAACTGGCTTAGCCTTCACTTGCAAACCTGTTCCTCACCTAACACCTCGCTGTCCTTCCGCCCCCACAGTGGGCTCGGGATCAGTTTGAAGGACTCTTCCGTCTCTCTGCTGAGTTCATCAACTGCCACCGACAGTAAGACCTCCATCAGGGCTGCATGGGAGTCCAGGGTCCCAGCACCAGAATCTTCAGGGTTTTGACCAACTTCCTTCTCTCTCACAGGGGGCTCTCTTCTCTGTCAGACACAGAAGGGCAGAGGCTGACCCTACTGCAGGAGGTACTGGGTGAACGGAGAGAGCGTCCACAAACCTGGCGAGACTGTGTGGTGTGGGCGGTTAGCCACTGGCAGCTGTGCTTCCATCATGGCATCAGGCAATTGCTGAGGCACTTCTCACCTGAGAAAGTGGGTTTCTAGGGGTTAGGAGGCTGAGGGTTCAGAGCCACCAGCCTGAGCTCAACAGCTTACATTTCGCTAGGTGCTTGAGGACGGAACTCCCTTCTGGTCGGGTCCCAAACAGTGTCCCCAGCCCTTGGAATTTGATGCCAACCAAGTGAGTGAAGTCCACTGGGAGCCCTGAGATGGGAATGTGCCTCTTAGAGCAGAAGTAGGGACCTCTGTATTCTGCAGGTGCTAAGAAACAGTCATGTTTATGCACATGTGGGTGTCTGTCGTGTGAGGCAGAGGCACGCACAAAAGCAGACTCACAAGTGGGCAGTGACTTCCCTGTGTCACGCACTCCCACATGCTCACTCACACCCATGTGCCTCTGCTGCTCTTGGTCCGACTGTAGGACACGCACCTCCTCTATGTGCTGGCTGCTGCTAACCTGTACGCCCAAATGCATGGGCTGCCTGGCTCACAAGACCAGAATGCACTCAGGGAACTGCTGAGGGTGCTGTCACTGCCTGGCCTCCAACACCTGGCAGTCTCCTTCACGAGTGATCTGGAGCTAGCTCAGGATTCCACTGAGTTGGGTGAGGTCCCTGGCCACGCCCAGCCCCCTTGTGGCCACCCTCCTGTCCTCTACCTGTGTAAAATGGGGCCTGCAGGCCTGCAGCCAATTCATTACCTCTCATGCCTTCTGATCTTATTTTTCTCAGGCTTGGGCCCTTCCCTTGACCCTTCAGTAGGCCCTCTCCTTACCTAGCCCCTGCCCCATTCCTTAATCCTCATCAAAAGATACCCCCACACCTCTGGGTCCTGGAGAGCACCAAGCTTCGGCCCCCAGGTGAGGACAGTCACACAGGCAGGCACACACACCCATGGGCGAGGGCTGGCTCTGCTGGGAGGAGTTTGCAGTGTTAATCAAAGGGTCTCCATTAAAGTGGTAAATGACAGATTTTGCAGAGACCAAGAATAGGCACCAGGCTTCAGGGAGCGTAGGTGAGGGGACCAACGACTCCCCCAACACTCCCTTCTCCTGTCAGGTCCTGAGCAGTTGAAGAAATTGCATGAAGCTCTGGAAGCCTGGAGCAAGGGTCCTCCCCTGAAGCCCCTGATGTTTGAGAAGGTAGGAGCTCAAGTCAGGGTGAAAGGTCACATGGGGGAGGTTGTTGGGGAAGGTCAGGAACTAAGAAGGTAGCTTTGGAGCCCCTTGGTCTGAGCTGTTCCCCAAGTAGGACCTGGGAAGTGATTCATCTTCCCTGAGCCTTAGCTTTAGATAAGTGGGGAGATGTGCGTCGACCTGGCCTAAGTGTGTAGACATGTGCAATGGCACACAGCCAAGCTGGTGCCCTGGGGCACCGTTAACATTATTGGCACTTGGGCCTCACAGGACAATGGTAGCAACTTCCATATGGACTTTGTGGCAGCAGCAGCTAACTTACGTGCTCAGAATTATGGGATCCCACCGGCCAACCGTGTTCAGGTAACGCGGACCCTTAGGGTTTAGGCCTGGAGGTGAGTATCAAATCCTAGCTATACCTTGGGCCTTTCCTGACCTTGGCAGAGCATGAGAATCATGGGCCAGATTATTCCAGCCATTGCCACCACTACAGCAGCTGTGGCAGGCCTGATGGGCCTGGAGCTGTACAAGGTGGTGGACAGCCCACGGCCCCTTGGTGCATTTCGCCACAGCTATCTGCAACTGGCTGAAAACATGTTTAGCCGCTGGGTACCTCCTGCTCCAGACAGCCACACGGTGAGTCCTTGATACCCCACCTACACCAGACCCAGGTTTTCCCTACACCTTCCCAGACAAGCAGACAGCTCCTACTCTGGTTAAGAACCAGACTCTGGGGGAGTCCTCAAGACTCCCTCCAGCCCGCTTCCTGCTGCAAAGCCAGGCTGGGACCTGTCAGACACAGGAAGCAGCCGTCAGCCACCCCCACCCCCACCCCTCTGCTGCCTGGGGTCTGGGGGAGCTGCAGCTTTAACTCATTAGTGGAGCCAGACATTTCCCACAGCCCCCTCCTTCCCAATAGTGGTCGGGAGGGGGGACTAAGGCATTAGCCCCAAACAGAGCCTAACCTCTGCCTGTAGAGCTGGGGGATCCTGGCCACCCTCTCCGAGCTGAATAAAAGGGCACTGAGCAGACCACCATGGGTGTGGAGTTTGAAGCCCCGTGCATATGTGTGCATACGTGTCACAGGTGTGAGGGCAGTGGGGTCTGGGATCCCTGGCTCAGTGGTGTGTGGGCATGGAGGGGGTAAGCTCACACATCTGTGTGCCAGATGGGAGTGCTTGCTTCTCCTTCCATGTGGGTTTGCATGGGTCTGGATGTAAGGACACATGCCAGTGTTCCCGGGTTTGTGTGCATGTGTGTTTCCTCAAGTGCAGGGTGGTGAATATCCCTGGCTGTGTGCCCAGGTTCTATAACAGTTGGCATTTCCTTGGGGCTCAGGAGAGGGGTAGAGAGAGTACTCTCACTGGGGAAGAGGAGAAAGGTTATGGGCCAGCACTGGGCTTTTGGTGATCAGCCCTGGGGTCCCTCAGGCCACAACACAGAGTCCCTTTGTGAGGGGCCCAGCCCCTAGCTAGCACACAAGCTGCCTTTGTCCATGGTAGAGGGGGAAGGGAAGGGTCCCCCATCTCTCTGACCTCATCTCAGCTTGACTGTGTATTTAGGGGGGGCAGTATCTTGGCCTCTGGCAGCCTGCCACCCTTCTCCCTTTTACTCCAGGCACCAAAACCCCAATACTATTGAAATAAAGAAGAAAAGGGGTACAGGAACAGGATATGTTCTTGTCAAAATCTCTGGGCCAGTGTGGCCCTGATAGTCACTGTGCCTTGTGCCCCTATGTGCCCATGAGTAGTCCAGAATCCTGGCAGTACAGGATGAGGGGACAGGATGTACCCCCCAACCCTCAGTCTTGCATTTGAGGAACAAGCAGATTTATCAGAGACTGCAGCGCCCTGCTCTAGCTTCCTCAGGAAGCACCACCCCCTACACACACACACACACACACACACACACACACACACACGCACGCGCGCGCGCGCACACACACACAACTAGCCTGTGTGATGGATAGCCTGTTTCCCTGTGCAGGGCCCCATAGCCTCATTTCCTGTGCTGGCCCCAGCGTGGGCATGAGGGTGCTGAGACTCTGGGCCTAGAGCCCACCTTCTACCCCCACCCCTGACTTTTTCTTCCTGCCCAGAGTCCAGCTCCTCCCCTAGAAGAGTGGCCATCAACTGCTAGTAACTGGGGTAGGGGGAGGGTATGCATGTGAGAAGTTTCTCACTCCTCCTCACTACTCCCTCCCAGTTTCAAAACCTGAGGTGGACCTCTTGGCACCGTCTGAAGGTGCCTGCTGGGCAGCCCGAGAGGACCTTGGAGTCATTGCTGGCCTATCTCCAGGTGTGCCCCACTCCTGCCCTACCCCCAAGCCTGGCCCAGCCTGGCCCAGCCGGCACCTGACCTGTTTGTCTCTCAAGGAACAACACAAGCTGAAGGTGAGGATGCTGCTGTATGGCCCAGCCGTGCTCTATTCAGTAGGGTGGTCACCTGAAAAACAGGCCCAGCATCTGCCCCTCAGGTGAGCTCACACCTGGGGATAGTCAGGCCTCCTCCTATCCTGGAGATGAGAGGTGGGAGACATGCAGACTTTCCTCACCTCAACCCCATTCCGGCCCCCTCACACCTTCCTGAAGTTTTCTTTTGCCAAATGGAGCCAGCAAATGGACTGTGGGTGGGGCAAGGGCCAAGAGCCTGAGAAGGGCCTCCAGGAGTTGCTGTTTGGCTCCTCCATACCCTGCTCAGCCCCCCTTTCACAGCCTCTCCCTAGGGACTCGCAGTTTCCTGCCTCCTGGCCTCCCAGTCAGCAGCTCCTAAAATAGTTTCAGATGTTTCCTGTCTTGAGCTGCTCCTGCTCCTGGCTGGGGCTCCTTATAGCCCATCAGCACCCTCTGGTCCGTGCCGAGTGACTCTCTGTCCACCACTGCTAACCTACCTCATCTCCCCCACTTTATCCCCTTCCCCCCATGCCACCAGGGTGACGGAACTGGTGCAGCAGATGACAGGCCAGGTGCCTGCGCCTGGGCAGCGGGTGCTGAAACTGGAGCTCAGTTGTGAGGGTGAGGAGGAGGACACTGCCTTCCCACCCCTGCATTATGAACTATGACGGCAACGCCACCACCCAGCCCTATCAAGTCTAGCATCTGAGCCCACTAAAGAGGCACTCAATAAATGCCCGCTGGAGCAGAGTACGTGGAGAGGATGGGTGGTGAAACATGGGGTAATAAAGTACATGGGATGGGACGTGGGCGTGAGGGACCCCTCCAGGGAGGGAAAAGGCTCTTGAGATGTGCCTGCCTGGCTTGGCTTGTGCCTTGCATGAGCTGGGCTGCCTCCTGGAGTTTCAGGGATATGGAACCAGGACAGTCCAGAAAAAGGCCTTTATTGTGCCAGGCTGGAGGGCAGGGTCAGAGGTAGCTGACAACGTCATTGCAGATGATGGGTTGGCGACTGCGGCAGTTCATGAGAGCGGCAAAGCGGGAGACGTCTGCAGGCAGTTCAGGTTCCGGGCGAGGTGGGCATGACAGTCGCTTTCCTGCCATGGCTGCCCGCCGTGCCCTGGCCAGCTGGCGCCGCAGCTGCTCAGAGAGTCCATGCAGGAACTGAGGGGGCCGAGCACGGATGCGGGGCCCACCCCCGCTCTCCCCCTCCCCCGCTGCCTCAGGCAGCTCCATCCAGTTGTGTACCAAGTCAGCAAAGCAATTGTCCCCCAGCACTAGGGGCTGGCGACTGCGTCCTCTGCTCAGCAGGGCTGCTGTCCAGTCCTCAGCTTCCAGCCCCCGCCAGTGCTCCAGGCAGGCATCTGGGGTAGACCTGGGCCGTGGTCGGTGGGCAGGTGGTACACTGGTCACAGGGGCCCCACTGGGCAGGGGGATGCCACTGGCCAAGAGGTGCTGTCTGTGGGGGTGCCGTGCTGGGGGTACTGGTTGTTGGGGTGTGGGAGGCTCCTCCTCTCTCCATGTGCTGCCTGATACCTCCGAGAAGCCAGAGTCCCAGTCCAGGGCATGTTCCCTGGATCTCGCCAAGGCCACACTCCTGTCTCTGGTTACCACAGCTTCCTCCTCTTCCTCTGCACAGCAGCTAGAGTCCTCTTCCAAGGCATCTGAAGCCCTGAGCCGGTGGTTGCGGAGCCTCACAGTTGGGCCGGATTTGGGGGGTGTTGGTAGAGGGCCAGGCATCGGGGGCGAGCCTGTGTCCCGGCCACACAGCTGTAGAAGAGAAGCAAAGGTCCGAGGGGCAGGTCTCATCACTCCTGTTGCCTGGACAGCCCAATTCCAGAACAGAAGGCCTAAGAGACCTGGATAGGCCTGCAGACCTGGGCAGCAAGGCCTGGAGTGGGCGCAGAGGCTACATGGGGGCACTGGCACACGAGGTTCGTGTGGCTCACATCAGCCGACCTGGTGGCAGTCCCGGCAGGCTGCAGCACGCTGAGTTGGGCAAGTCGGCACCCGCCACCAGGGCGGGAGGCAGGGTTGCGGGCCTGCATGGGGAAGTAGTTCTTACTCAGAGCTGGGGGTGGAGGGGGAGTATCCCGTGCTTCTGGGGAGTTCAGCTCCCCAAAGCCCACATTGTCTTTCGGAGCACAGAGTACTAGGTGAAGGAGAGAGGAAGGCCGTACAGACTAACCTGGGGTAGGGGAAATCCTTAGCGGCACCAACTCCTCTTTAGACACGGTCACCCCCTGCTCCACCCGCAAAGAAACTTCTCCCCCCTAACTTTCCATGCAGCCCCGGTAGGTAGCAAGGCCAGCTGGGCGGTTGTTACTTGATGCCCAACTCAGTTCCCAACCGTCCGAAACCCGACTCGGGCCATCTGGGCCATCTGCGCCACCCCACCCCCATCCGCCTTACACGGGCGTTGGGAACAGATCCCCAACAAAGAGGGCACAGATCCCCAACCATGCGTCGTCGGAGCCGAACGGCAGGGCACCCGAGCATCCCATACACATCTTCCCAAGTTGTACCCGCTCCCAAGCCTCACCAGTTCCCAGCGAAGCTGGCCCAGGAAGCTGTCAAGCCGAGCGCTGTGCATGCCCGTGCCGGAACCCCGCCAGGCCTGCCAGTTCCTCCTCAAACTTCAGAGGGAGCAGCGCCGAGAGGGCCCCGCGGGCCGGCCAGCGGCGCCCTCGCCCTCCACCCAACTCCTCGGCTCCTCGCTCTCCGTAGCTCCCATCGCCGCCCCAACATCTGGCAGGAGCGCCCCGCCCCTGAAGCAGCAACCAATGGGGCCTAGGCGGAGCTAAAGTGACCCCGCCCCGCGGGCTGGCTCCAGGGTGGAAAGGCTGGACGCCCACTCCTCGACGCCCACTCCCACGACGCGCCAGCCCTGGTGGGTGGGGCGGCACTGTATTTGAAAGTTGGGCGAGGCCGGGTCCGGGACTCCCCGACTCCCCGACTCCCCGGGAAGTGAAGCTGCACGACCCGGGACAGCTCGCTTCCCGGTTTTCCCTGGGTAGATGTGCGGTCCCTCCGGCACCAGCCGCGTTAGTGCGCGGGAGAGCGCCCCTAGTCGCGGGGCCGGATAGTACGATGGCCCATTTGGGGCTCGCTTTCGGAGCCAGCCTCCACAATCCCTGGAAGTGATGGGTGGGGTTCGGCTCTTCTGAGGACTCCGGGAGCGCCGGACCTCGCGGGAGCACTGGGGGGGGCCCTCGATTGCCTTAGGGCCGAGCTAGGCTGGGCCGCCCTCTAGTGGGGTACGGCAGGTTAGCTGCGACCCCGCGACCACCCCGAAGCCTTCTGCTGCGGTTAACACGTGCACTCTGAGTGAAGGGGATGAGAGCGGCGCTCTCTGGCCAGAAAGTTCAGAGCCTGTTCACAGGCCTCTCCAAGATGGGAAGCTACGTTCAAGGATACTGTCTTAACTAAATTACCTGGATTAAGGAATGAGGGCCACGGACTAGCTTGGGAGAGGGCATCCTCGGAGGAGGTGGCAGTCTGTACAAGATCTGGATGAGCCATCATGGGAGATGAAGAGGTGCATTCTAGGTGGAGGGCTTAGCCAGGAAAAAGCCGCAGGGGATAGGAGCTGAATGGGGTTTAACAGCAAGATCCAGATGTCAGTGATGGTGTTAGCTGGCGGAGTAACTATACTTAGAAAGGAATAAGGGGTTTTGTTCTAATTCAGTGGGGAACACTGAGAGGTTTTTGAGCAGGGAGTGATCTGTGAGGGCTCCTGTTTAGATAATTCCAGCTGCTTTGGGAAAAACACTCTGTAGTCAGAGTGAAGGCCTGCCTCAGCAATGGAGGGGTGAGACTGGACCTGCGTGGGGCAGATGCATGGAGGGGTATGTTTTAGAGCTACAATCAAGTTTTACTAATGCATGAGTAGGGGTAGGAAAAGAGGAACATCAAACACAGTTGCTAGATTTCTAACATGAGTGACTGGTCAGGTGGAGTTGCCATGAATTATTACAAGACTGAAGAGTGGGTTTAGGGAAGCAAATAAAACGGCCATTTGTTGACATATGACCCTTGAGATTAACTATCCAAGAGGAGGTTCGGGATCAGCTGATCTGGAGCTGATTGGTAGACAATCTGGTAGACAGATTGGCACTGAGATGTTGAATCTGGGAGGCAAAGCAAGTGTGGGGGGTATTTAAGACTAGGAGCCTGGAGAGAATGAGGGTGACGAATTTAGACAGAGGAGGGTAACAGTCCAGATTGAGGCCTGGAACACTCCACCTGGTGGTTAGAGTGGAAGTAGAGTGGTTGGAGGGAAGATAAAACCCAGTCAGCAAAGGAAGCTAAGCAAGAGCAGCCATGGAAGTTAGAGAAACCTCAGAGTGTGGGTACTCAGGAGCCCAGGGGAGCCAGGATCAGGGGCTGCCTGGGAAATGTGATTGGGGAACAAATTGCTGAGTTCAGCAATACGCCAAGTTCTCTGAGGACACTAACAAGAATGTATTCATGGAAAGAGGGTCAAGCTTGGGGCCTCCCTGGTGGCGCAGGGGTTGAGCCTCAGCACTATGACTGCTGAGGCCTGAGCTCCTTCCATTTCAGCCAAAGAGCTAACCCACATATGGGGGGGGAGGGCAGCAAACCTCCCCTATCTTGCCTGCTGCTCCCCTCAGCAGTGTATTTCAGTGGATCCTCCTATTCTGCTCCCCACTCTGTCTCTGGCATGGGAGACACTCCCCTCCCCCTGCATTTCTGGCCTACACCTTGTATGCCTAAATAAATTAATTAATCTTAAATAAAAGAAAAGAGAGACAAGCTTGACTGTTATGAGTAGATGAGAGAGTGTGAGGTGAAGAACTGGAGAGAGCAAGACTAGGCATTTATAAAATTGACAGAAACATAATACAACGAATGGAAAAATCTTAAAGTCACATTCAATAGATGTTAAAATCTATACAAATTTATGCAACTGTAATCCAGATTAAGATGTAGAACATCCTTAGCCACTCCAGGAAGTTACTTTGTGGACCCTCCAGTTAACACCCTCCAAAATAACAACTTTTGATTTCTGTCACCAAGGACTCCTTTTGCTTCTTGGATGTAGGCAAATTTTAAGAGATTTTGTTGATGGTTGGGCTCAGATAATATCCTAATTGGTGTGGGTATGGTGTGTGTATAAATCCTTGACCCAATTTTTCCTATGTGCTCTGCCTGACCTGTCTCTAAGGACTGTGTAAACAAGAACTCCCTGAGTCTTAGTTTCCATATCAGAAGCTTCACCAATTTTACAGTTCCTTTGGGATGTGGTATTAAATGGGGATATTCATTCGGAGCAATGTAAAAATAAGGTTTCTTGGTTCTTTTGATGCTTGGTTAGGGTCTAGAGTTCAGTTACCAGGGATGGGCGGAGTTGGAACCTGGGATGTCCAGGAGTCCCGTCTGCTCAGTTGTGTTTGAACAACTGACCTGGCAACCGGGTGAGCCCGACAAACACACTTGTTCAGGAGCCTTCTCTGCTGTCGGTGTCTACAGAGCACTATGCCGCTGCTCAGGTCCCTGGCACTTCTTGCTTTGCTTGTCTCTGGTGAGGAGTTGGTGGGTGGGGGAACCCTACTTCTCACCCACCCTGCCTGTGGAGTCCTGATATTTTCAGATACCATGGAGGGCAGGGAAAGCTAGGGAAGGGCAAGAATCCGAACCCCAACCCTATTCCTTATACTGGGATAAGTCCTTAACGACTAAATCTTCATTCCCAGACTGTGAAATGAACTGCTTGTGTTTGGATGTGAGGGATGAGGAAGACTTTTGTCTGCTTGGCCCTGGCCAGGCCCTGATGCAAGGGCAGAATTATGTTCAGGTGTGTGGTTCCTTGAGCACGGGAGCCTTCTGCCTGAATCATCTCTCGATAACAGACCTCTGCTGTCTGCCCTGGTTCATAAACATCTCTGAGAGCGAGAGGCCTGGAGCCATCCTTCAGACCTTCTCCTTCAACTGCTCCTCTTACACGCCCACTCTGGAGCTGCTCCATGTGCAGCCACCTACCACCTTCTTCAACCCACCCAGCCTAGCCAGGTGGCAGGGGAGGTACTTGGCCAAGGTAGGGGCTTGGGCACACAGGGGGCTATGGGAGGACAAGGGAGGGTTCTAAATTCACAAAACCAGAAGTGGGGTTTAGGGGATAGAGAGCCTAGGCCCCACATGGCACTGCCCATCTGCCACAGGTGACCTTGAGCAGCTCAGCACATCTGGATGCCTTGGAGGTGAATCACTACAAGTTGCAGCTGCGGTACACGTGTGGTAACTATGTGACAGATGGACTGCTCTCTGTGGATGTGCAGCAGGACCCTAGCCGTGTCCAGTGTGGCCGATTTGCCAGTCCAGGTAAGGGTAGGCAGGGGGTAGGTAGACATGACCTGAACAGAGCCTCACTGACCTCCACTTTGGCCAGCTGGTGAAGTCATTCAGGTGCCAGAGACAGTCACACCTGGGGCCCGGCTGTATACTCTGCTTCTGCCAGGCCTGGAACTCCAGGGAGCCCAGGTGAGCCCAGTACACGAGCCATGGGAGGTAGGATGGAGTGGGGAGCATGGGGAGACCATGCCTCACTGCCCAAGCCCAGACTGCAGAGGAGCCCTCCAGGGTAGCACTGAGCCTCTAAATAATGCCTGTTCTTGGAAAGAGCTACTGAGGGTTGCCCACTGCTGATGACCACAGCTCTTCGTAAGGGGCCGAGTTCTTCCAAGTATTCCTGTGTGTTGAATTCTCCATGTAAATTCTGTATCCCTTTTGTAATACTAATAATAAGCAGCAGAAGAGGGAAAATATAGCTTTAAAAGCAAAATAATTAGTTTAAAAGCAGAAGGGCTGTGACTGAGTACCAGGGATCAGAGCTAGAGGTCGGAGAACCCAGGCTAGGGTAAACATCACTTGTGGGAGATGGGCAAGTTGCGATGGTCAGATACTTGCTGGATTGTGGGGAATTCTGACAGGAATGCTTAGGGTACTAGGGGCTGGGGACAAGAACCCTAGCATCTCTATCCTGTCAGATCAAAATCACCAGTGCCCAGGACCCTCCATATTTCCCTGGACCGTTCTTCATTGATGGGCTCGGTTGGCTGCGGGCACCACCCCAGGGCCTCAAAGGCCAGGTTCAAAAGGTGAGCACGACTTGGGACCTTGGGATGTCTATGGTTTGGGCAGTTACCACCTCTTGGAGGTTTATTTTTTCATGGCCTCCTCTACCTCTTCAAATATCTGCCACTCCCAGACAGTTTACACCTTGCACCAGCTGCCCTGACCGTCCTAGCACCTCCACTGGTCCTCTGCTGGGCTGTGGAGTTGCAGGAAGAAGAGGGACCCCCAACTTTGGGGATTTGTGGTGACTCAAATAGAAACGAAGGTTTTTACAGCAGTCACTTCTGGGAGAAGTGCTCAGAGCAGTCTGAGAGGAGGTTGGAAAGGTTCCTTTTTTTTTTTTGGTTAAGATTTGTTATTTATGCATACAAAAGCTGAGGTATAGGCCAGAGGCATTGGTGGGGGTGAGAGGATGAGAGGAATCCCCAGAGACAGAGTGGGAGCAGAACAGGCAGACTGACTGAAATATACTGCTGAGGGGAGCAGCAGACAAGATAGGAGTGTCTGCTGTGCCATGTGGGTCACCTCCCTGGCTGGGGATCGAACTCATATTGCAGTGGCTGCAGATAGCGTCATGGTGCTTAGACTTAACCCCTGTACCATTAGAGAGGCCCTGAAGTTCCTTTTTTTAAAACTTCCCATTTAAAAACAGAAAAAAACAAACAAACAAAAAAAAAAACCCACAACTGCCTAGGCTCTGTGACTGGCTCTTAGCAATTCTAAGATGATAATTCACATTGTGAATGACTCAGGTATCACTATTTTTGTGGCTCTTTGCCTCCTAATAGAAAATTTTGTCCTCAAAGGAATGGGACTTTAAGGAATGCCTGTTGACAGAGAAGCAGATCATAAGGAAGAGTGAGCGTTGGGGTTTCTTGTGGCAGTCTTAGTGGGAATGCTTATTGAAAAGAGCACTGGGCCCAGTTATACAGGTAGACACACACTGTGACTCCCTTCCTGTTCCTTGTGCACCACAGGTCTTCCAGCTTCAGATCTTGGTGACATTTGGACAGAACAGAAGGTGCCAGGGGATGCTAACAGTGAAAGTTTTGCCTGCTCCTTCCAGCCAAATCTCCTTTCTGTAAGGTTGCACTACTCTGGAAATAGTGGGGAAAGCAGAGCCTAGGCCTAGGCTATTAGGAACAGGGGTAATATGAGGGCTACTGGATGTCCCTAGTTAGCTCCTACAGGAGGGGAGCCTGAGGGAAGGGGCCTGCTGACTGGGCCAGGAGGGTGGGAGCCAGAGCCAGTGCCCTTCTTTTTGTCCAGGGAGCAAGAGCAGAATATCACCATCCTGGAGGACCTGGCCCCAGGGAGTGAGGTAGTTCAGGTCCAGGCCCGGGGCTCTGATGTGCGCTATGAAATCCTCTCCCCAGTGCCTTGTCCACTCTTCTCTCTCGGACGCAGTAAGGAGTATGGAGGGGGAATATGGGAATGCCTCTGTGCTGGTCCAGAGGTGACTGGCCCTGCTTCCTGCCCAGCCTCCCATCCCAGTGGATCCAGTGGGAGGGCAAACCAGGAGGAGCTGGAGGCTGGGTAGAATTCTTGGTCCCCCACCTTCCCATCCTGTCCAGTTGATGGCATAGTCCGGACCACTGCACCCCTGGAGTTGGCACAGATGCCAGATGCAGCGGTCACTCGGCTGCTGGTCAAGGCCTACGAGCGGCTCCAGCCCTTGGCCAGTGTTGAGCTTGACCTTACTGTGAATGTACAATCAGTTAACCGCTGGTCCCCGCACTGCCTCCCAACTCTGCTGGTGTGAGTACATGGGAACTTTACACAGGTATTTGGGGTGAGAGCCATAGTTTGCACCCCAACTTGGACTCTGGTCTTCCCTCTGTTCCTAGGACTCAAATCCCAGAGACCACACCCGTGGGCACAGTGCTGAATATCTTCACGTGTTCTGACCCCGACGCTCCTGGCTCTACCCTTGACTATGAACTGTGGTTCCACACCCCTCTTGGATCTGCCAGCCTTTGTCTTCAAGATAGGGTTTTGGAGGTGCCTAGGCCCTGCTCCCAGACCTATGTGCAGGGTGCTTGGGATGGGAATGGGGAGTGGACCAAAGGTCTGTGGGGTGAAGATCCCATGGGCTTGGAGGTGATGGTAGCAGTCTACTTGCTTTGCAGTATGGACAACAGTGGGTCAGGGTGGGTTATTTGTGGATGCCTTGGCCTGCGGCAGCCCCATGTGGCACATGACTCTCTGAGGCCTGGGCTGGGCCTCACCTTCTTGCCTCTCTGGTCAGGTGAATGCCACACTTGACTGTGACAATCCTGGGCCCTGCTTGCAGCATGCTGCCTCCATCCTGGTACTTGACAATGGTCAGCCCCAGATGACCAGTGAGTGATCACATACAGGCCTGGACATTCAGAACAGGGCTGTTCTGTATTCTTCTCCCCACTCTCAGGACAGGGTCATCTCTCCTCCCTCAGAAGCCAGTAAGGTCTGATTGTCCACACTTTTCCCTAGACTGGGGCCTATCTCTCTTCTCTTAGATGCCCTCCCCACAACAAGGGAGGGGTATTGCTCTCCTTCCTTCCAGATACTCTCCCTCCTCAGACCCCAAGGGCAGGGCTGGGCATCCCAGACCAGCTCCTTGACTGTCAAATGGCCTCCAGCTGAGGTGCCAGTACTGGTGATGGTGACGCCTGTCAATGAGTTTGCCCCAGCCTGTGTCCCACGCACATTCCGGGTTCCAGAGGATGTAGAGCCCCACACCCTGCTGGGCTCTGTGGTGGGCACAGACATGGATTACCCCCACAACAGCATTGAGTACTACATCTCTGGCGGGTCTGCCACCTTCGCTATGGATCGCCTTAGTGGTACGCCCCACTCTAGCGCTGGGGTTGGTGGGTGAAGCCATGCTGACGCTGCAGGCTGAGTCTGTGGCTACCTCTTGTAGGGGAGATTTACCTCCTGAAGCCTTTGGACTATGAGCTGCAAAAGTTGTATAGGCTCACTGTCCTGCTGGTGGACCATGACCAAGACCAGGACCCCACCTATCACCGCTCAGGCTCCTGCAACATTGCCATTGAGGTTGAGGTAACTGACCCCCAGGACCTTGAAATCAGTTCAGGTCACCCTCTGGTATTCTGTTGTTCCACCCTATGTCCATTTTCCTCCGGTGACTGTTTAGATGGAGGCTGGGTCTCATTGTGGGAAATTTGGAGCCTGTTATCTGACACTTAACCTCTGGATTTGAGGGGAAGAGGCTGAGGGACTGGCTTGGGAGTTTGGAGAATGGGTGACCTGGCTGCCTTCCTGCAGGATGTGAATGACCACATGCCCAAGTGTGAGCCCCCGTTTCAGGAACTCACCATCTATACTCCCCTGGGCCATAGTGTGGAGGTGACCAAGGTGTCATGTCGGATCCCCCAGGAGCCACAGCGCCTGGCTTTTTCCTACAGTATTGTGAGAGGTGAGAGCTGAAGGGGCCAGCAGGCTGTTGGGGAGGGGCAGACCAAGGCCAGCAGTGGTCTTCTTCTTCTGCCACTTTGTTTTCAGGGAATACTCAGAGCCAATTCAGCCTGCAAGGCACTGTCCTGGTGTACAACAACCTCATGTTGAGGCCCTCCTGGCCAAAGCAACCCCATACTTATGAGTTGCTGATCCATGTGGCCGATGCAGGCCCCTTCACCTCCCATCTCAGTACCACAGCTACTGTCATTGTACATGTAGTTCCCGGGAGCACCAGCACAATGGCCACACGCACCCACAGAGACACAGTGAGTGAGGGGTGGGGACCATTGAGGAGTGGGGAGAAAGGATCTTGGAGGGTGTTGAGACCCAGTTTTCCAAGAGGAATATTAGGGGAAGGCATTTCTGAGGGATTCATTAGGTGCAAAAAGCCTGGCAATACAAAAGAACAAATCTGGGGTGTGGGTGGCGCAGCCATTGGAGGGGTTTGAAGGCAGGATGATCAGGGAATGTTGGCAGGGCAGTGGGGTATTAGTATGCATTCATCCATTTATAGACAAACATTTATAACATACACTTGGTTTCTACCTCATCTAACACAAAGTAGAAAACTAAATGTTACTGCATTTACTACATGGCTGCCCTGCCATTTACCCATTTCAGGAGCCTTCTATGATGACACCCCTGTTTGTGATGAACACAGAGACATTCTGGCAGCCAGAGCCTTGGTTTGTGGTGGTGTTGACAGTGACTGGTGCCCTGCTCCTCTTGGCTCTGGGCTGGCTCCTCAGCAGCTTCCTTCAGAGGTAGGGTCCCTACACCTGTGCTCCCTCCTCTAGACCCCATCTGTGATAAATGGTTTCATCCAATATTTAATGACAATGCTCAAGTTGGTGGGCAGACAAAGTAATACAAAGAAAGGCTGCTCTTCCCCCGGAGGTCATCAGGTTAAAGGCAGAGAGACACAGGGAAGGGGATATCTCCATTGCTGGTAGAGCCCAGTCTTGGAATGAAATGGGTATAGATGAAGCCCAGGGTTTGAGATTCTGAGCCTGTCATGCACTGGACATTTACTTTTATTCCTGACCCTTGCCTTCCACCTGAAACCTGACCTGCCCCTCAGTCCTGTGGGCATGTGATTGAATCCAAGGGAGATGACGCAAAATGTGAGCACAGCAGACAGACACTGGCTATCCCTGATATAAAGGGGAAGATAAGTGGTGCTGGCTCCTAAAGCTGGCAGACCTGCTGTCCTCACTGTTTGTTCTCTCCTCCTGGTCTTTTAGGTTCATCCAGGTGTTACAGACACCAAGCAAACCAGCCCAAGCTCAGCTACTAAACAGGTCAGCTTCCTTTGCATACTTCTATGTCTGGGAGTTGATCTCCTAAACTTTGGGTCTAGAGCCTTATCCTATATTCTTATGCCTACTTTTCCCCAGTGCAACTGAAGGGTCCATTGAAAGGCCCATTGTGGAGGAACCGAGGATGGAGATGTCCCAAGCACCCAAAAGTGTCATGAGCCTGGTATGTTGACCTACCATCCTGTGCAATGGGCACTGAGCCTACTAGAGTGCCCTTCTCCCAAGCCTATCCCTTCCCCCATTGATGGCTACCCCTGTGGGATGGAGGATGGAGACAGATGAGCTCCTGACAGGCCTCCCCTGAGGCAGGCCCCATTGCCTGCAACTCATTGAACCTTTTTATTCTTCCGTCAGCAGCATTTTGATGGCAGAGCACAGGACTCCAGTGAGTTCCCCTTTTACCAAACCATTTTCTACCTGGACCTACTTCCTCTCCTTACCCAATCTCAGTATCTCCTACCACCAGTCATCACTCTCTACTTTTTCTCTGAATGGGGTCTGTTCTCATCCCTACTCACTTTACAGTCAGTTTTTATCTGTGGGAACAGGAGGTGACACAGACCTGGTCTAATTCCTGCCTACTGGGGAAGAGGGTATGATGATGAGGTGGGAGCTCCCCACCCCGAATACTCCACTGTCACCAGAGTAATGTGCCATTGAGTTTAGGGGGAATGAGTGTCCCATTGGAGGAGTACTTGAGCCGGAACCTGGAGGACTTGCTAAGAAAGGAGGGAGGCGACAGCTTGGATCAAGGAGAAGAGGGTTACACCAAGAGTCCTAGAATGCCGTTCTTCTCCCTTTGCGAGGGAGACAGTTCTGCTGAGGCCAGCAATGCCCTGTTTCTTTCTTCTGCTCTTCTGAGCTTAGGTACAGGCAGAGACTACCTGTTCAACACATATACAGGAGCCCGGCGCTGGCTCTGAGGCCAAGAAACTGCTTCACTATGTCTGGAACTTCTTCAAGTGATCATGGGCTGTATTTTCAAGTTGATTAAATAATAAACAAAATTACAAACAGAAAAGTTCCAGATTTGTAACCTATGTGTGGGAGAAACTGTGAGATCTGTGCTTTCTTGTTCTCACTTGGAGAATGCCCTATTGTGGACACACTCTAGGGAGTAATGACTATTTTGTTTTTAAGAAGATGCTGTACAATGCTCTCACAATGACTTAGTTTCTGCACAGGTAAGAGGCTATTACCCTTGTCAGACTGAGGGGTCTCCAGTCAACCTGTCCCCTCACGTAGAAAGGGTGTACCTTTCTTTTTTCCGCGAAGAGGAGGTGGTTGTTTGGGGGTCCCAGCAACTTCAAGGCAGTTGCTGACTGTGTGTGTGGAAGTTTTCTTGGGAGGGATCTGGAGATTTTGCACTGGTGCAGACTTGATAACCCTATGGCATGGATGACCATGTAGGGATCAATGGTAGCCCCCTTCTAAGGGATTCTTCTCATTTTTTCCTGGTCTGTTTCTTCTGGTTCCTTGGCCCTTTTACCCTGCCTCAACTGAACTGAGTTGATGGAGGTAGACAAGTGGTCTATAGAAACCCACAAAAGGGCAGCTTCCTTGGGTGCACCGCTAGCCCAGTCTCCATACACAGTCTGGCATAAGGTCTCAGGTTGGTGCTAGTTCTGGATAGGTCTCTAAAGGACCTGCTTGGGGGAGGGGGGGCGTTTACATTTACAGGGGTATCCCCAGCTTCTTTCAGTCTTTTCCCTCCTAAGTCTGTGGACCTAAAAAGGTCTGAGGCACTGTAGGAACTCCTTTCCTGAGCCAGTTACTATGTGTGTGTGTGTGTGTGTGGAGGGGGGGTTTGAGAGGGATGTTTGGTTGTGTGCAGTGAAGAAGAGTGCCTAGTGTAGGAAAAGCATGTTACTCCTCGCTCCCAATAAAATGAAGGTGTTGGAACTGGCCTCAGGGACAGCAACCTGAGGCTAGGGTATTACTGGATAGTTACAGGCAGAAATTTCCTGGGCACTTAACCTGCTCTAAGGGCTCATTAACTTCATTTCTGAGACACTATTGTTCTCATTATACAGGTGGGGCAACCAAGATTCAAAGTTACAGAACTGGCTAGTCCCAGCACTTAATGTGGGCAAGGGATAACCCTATTTTCAGAACTCATGGTTGGCCTGAGGCAGGTCAGGGCAATTCAGGGCAAGATTTTGATAAAGAAACTCAAGACAAGATGTCCTAGAATAGGAAGACAGTGTCTGCTATGCACAAGGTCTTGTGTTGGGGACTGAAGTCTGGACTGAAGGACAAATGTGGGCAGCAGGCCAGGCTGGGATTAGGAGGGCAGATCACAGCGCAGGGCTAGTGAGGGAAGCTGTTGAGATGGCGGCATTATATTATAAAGCCGGTAGAAGGAGGTAAGAGGCGGGAGGACTTAACTCCCAGAGGTGGGATGACCTTGGCTCAGGTCTTCCCCTCTACGCCTCAGTTTCCTCACCTGTGAACTGGGGACAACAACCCAGGGCGGGTGGCAAAAAAGCAAACAGAACTCAGCAAACAGTAACTAAGAGTGAGAGCTTCTGTGAGAAGAAGGGGTTCAGGATGCCAGGAGTGCACTTAGAGAGGCCAAGGGCGACACGGCCTCGGAACCGCCGGCAAACGCTCCACCACCAACAGCGAGAATGGCGCGCATGCGCTAAGCCGTGCCGTCACAGTCACGTGCCTAGGCGCGCAGCTTGGGCTTTGGGAGGCAGGTTCTGACTGACAAAGCAGCCGGCCTGTCAGCAAGAAGCACTCCCCGAGCTACGGGCAAAGAGGCTGTTGATTGGGGGTAAACTCAGCCGGGGGCGGGTTCTTTGCCGTCCTGGTTACTATGACGCCCGGCCCCCGCCCCCTCGGCTGGCCGCCATCTTGTTGTTGATCCGTACCCAGTGGGCAGCGCCGGGAGCTGGACCGAGCGGCCGCTGAGGGGCCGCTGCTGCGGGGCTCAGCCACCTGCGCTGCCTGCCAGGGGGCGGGCCGAAACCTGGAGGCCCGGGGGGCCCAGCTCCCGTTGGGAGCAGTGGGCGCCCGCTGCCTGGGCTGGGCCGGTGAGTGACAGGAGCCGGGCGAAAGACCGGCCTGGCGGGAGGCGGCGGGCGCGGGGTTGGAGCGGGCGCGTGCAGGGCCCGGGGCATTGACTGGGCATCGCTTGAGCACTGCTTGAGCATCCCGACTCGCATCCTGGAGCCTCCCAGAGGCTGGCGCTGAGGTGGGGAGGACCTTGAGCGGGGTGGATTTCTTGAGACCCGCACCCGAGGACCCTCTGGGTAGCGGGTATACTGGCTCCTCTGACCCACACCTTTGGTCACCGCTGACCTGCCGTACTAAAACGTGTCCAGTGCCAGCTTGATGCTTTTCGGGGCGTTCTCTTGCTTCTCGTTGTGTTGTGGGATGGACACGTACCTCTTTTTAAGATGTCACTAAAAGCGGGTGATTCTCAGACCGCTTGAGACGAGACTCAAGTCTAGACAAAACAAGCTAAAGCCCCCACGAACCAGGCAGGTCAGTGTCACGGCCCCCTGTGATTCTGCCTGGTGCCTGTCTTCTGTGCCCCTCGGAACCCACCGTTTGTTTCTTCCTGAAGGGCCTGGCTAAATGCTCTTGATACCCAAATTTTATTCTGGAACGTAATTTTTTGTTTGCTTTTTCAACCACCACTTTTTGGAGTTGTGGGAAGGTCTTCCTCTTGGACAATGGGGGTATTAAGGTGATGGCTTGGTTGATTTTTATCTCCGAATGAGCGTACCAGTTTAACCAGGAGACAAAGCAAATGTAGGAGCGTGTTAAAATCAGAAAAACAAAACTTTTTGTCGTTGTGAAATGGCCAGATTAACTTTGAACTGTACTAAATTATCTTCCCCATTGAAAACAGATGGGCAGAACCCTTTCCTGTGAGGATGGGGGGTAGGAGACCCCCCGGCAAGATATGCCGGTCTAGAAAGAGGTCGTAATGCTCCAAAAACATTTCTTTTTTCCGTGGATCCTTGCCTTGTCCACACAGGCTCCTTGTTGTGGTCATACAGAAAGCTTGCATGAGATGACAGAATTTAGGCACATGTACACATGTGTCAAGATGTCACCTCAGATTGTTTAATTTGAAAGAAACCATCACCTCTCTTTTGGAGAGCAGAAGCTGAAAGTGGAGGAGGTGGCCTGTTGCTGTTTGCCTTACTTGTGAGAAGAATAAGAAGTTGTTTGATCTTTAGTTGATTTCATTGTCCTGTCGTTTTTTGTATTTTGAATGAGGTTTGACCTTGGTAAGACCATTTCCTTGGGCAGTCCTTCACAAGAAAAGACTGTGGGTCTTAAAATATTCTCAATATTGTACCAGCTTAGCGCTTCTCTAGCTCTCCTCATTTGATTAACATTACAGAAAGTTAAGGCAATTACCAGGTTAAATTATTGCTGATATTTGTTAAAATAACCCTAAGTTAGACTCCTAATCTGTTTAGAATATCAGACTTCTTTGAAGTGTTAAAAAGGGTCAAAACACTTGACTTTTGCATAAAATTTTAGGAGGTTGAAGAGCCCTTTAAAGTCCATCCAGGGTCTAACCCTGTGTTTAGAACTGCTGCCCCAAGGAAATTATAGAATATCCAAGAACTTTCACTGCTTTTGTTTAATATTTTTACTACCTTGTGAACATTTGTGAGTAGTGGATGATGCTTGACTTAATGTAATATTACACAAAGGTATCTAATAGGAAAAGTATGCCTCACCATGCACATTGTTTACACAAAGTTACAGGAAGGCGGCATTACAAAGGAGTTTTGATGGGAGTACATTCACTTAGAAAATCTAAGGTTTTCTAAGCACTGGGCTTTTTAAGTGCAAATGAGTAAGAATATTGTTATAATAGCAGATTATTTATCCTAACTTTTGTTTTTATATAATTTATCGTAAATGTCAGTATTATTTGAGTAACAGACACACTTCATAAGCTATGGAAAATGAACACCAAAGTCAGAAACTGCTGCAGGCTTATGGTGTGAGAGATGATGTCCTAATGTGGCACTCAAGGCCCCAGCCTACTTCCAGGGCTACCCAATTGGTTTTGCTAAACATTATGTACTCATTCTATACAGATTCACTTTCCAGCTATCTGTATGGCTTTTGTCCCTTTTTGGTATACTCATCCTCAGCTCCACTTCTCTTTTCTCCAGAGTCCAACTCAGGTCCTTCCTACCTTAATGAAACACTCCCCAAACATTTCAACCCGTGGAAATACTTCAGTTCTTCTGAACTACTGTAGCATTATTACCGTAAACAAAAATTAAAAATGCCACATTTCAGGGAATTTCCCCCCCTAGGATAAGAGCTGTCTCCTTTGCTACAATACTATATCTTCTTGCACCTACAAGTAGATGAGGATTAAATATTTACAGAGATGTGCTAATTTGTCTGTGTGGCAAACACCTTCTGTAATAAGTAGGAAAGTGGAGGTAGTGGGCAAGAAGAAATGGGAAGTTGGTGGCCTTGACTCTCTAACCCCTGCCTGGCTGAAGTGCTTGCACTTTAGTGCCTTCTATCTCAGTGCTTCAGAACAGAGGCAGAACTTGCTCCGAGTGCAGAACCAAGCCCTGAAAACAGTAATTCTGGATCTTGTAAGGGTACCTGTGGTCCGCCTGCTTCCTGGCTAAAACGCCAGCTTTAATTCTTAGAAAAGTGTTGGGTCAATATAGCACTGGATGCTGAGATTCTTAGCCCCTCTTCTCAGCTGGGTCTTGGCCTCACTGTCACCTTGGACTGCTATAAACACATCGGTACTATTTGCTGCTACTTGTCCTCTTCCTAGTGCTGCCATGAAACTACGGAGCAGGGGTGGGCAGAGCTGTGGAAAGGCTGCACATTCTGTCTCTGACCTGGGGCAAAGGAGCAAGTCAGACGGACATTTTGTATGTGCCAGTGGAACCTTGATTTTGCCACATATTAAATCAAACTTTTCTTCCCCTACTACAGTAATAATGGATTCTGGGTAGGAAAAAGACTAAGATATAGAGACATCTTAGTTCTTTACAAAAGATTAGGACTTTCATGTTTGCAGTTTGGCTGAAGTTATAAGGAGGCATTACAAAGGAATTTTGATGGGAGTACTTTCACTTCAGCATTAAATCCCTGTTAGGGACTTTGTTTTGTTGAGTGCTTAGAAAATCTGCTGATCTTATCTCTAAAGGTTTTTATTTGTAGATGGGGGTTTAGCTCCTTTACTCCTGCTTCCTCATTTTATAAAAGGTACTCAGGCTAGGGGAGCAGGTCTAGGACTGTATTCCTTTTAAATCTTAAAAGATGATATCAGGGCCCTCCCTGGTGGCACAGCGGGTTAAAGCACAGCACTAAGAACCTTAAGCCACTTCTGCATGAGTTCATTCCCACCTGCCCCCCGAGGAGATCCACATGGCGGGGGCAGACCTCTCCTGACCCGCCCACTGCTCCCCTCAGCAGTGTACTTCATCCATCTGCCTGTTCTGCTCCCCACTCTGTCTCTGGTGAAGCCTCTCACCCTCCGCATCTCTGGCCTGTACCCCAGTTCTGCATGAATAAATAAATAAATCTTAAAAAAAAAAAGGTGATAATCAGTGAATAAGAGTACTTTGAGGTCCATAAAATCTGTGTGTATTGTGATAGAATGATCACTTATAAGCAATTTATAATTGAAGAATTAGCTGTTGATAAGTGTAGATGAGGATGTACAGAAATTGAAGCTCTCATGCACAGCTGGTGAGAATGTAAACTGATGCAGACACTTTATAACATAGCCTGACAATTCTTTAAATGGTTAAACATAACTGGATGTGACCGAGTAAGTCCACTTGTTATGTACCCAAGAGAAACGAAAACATGTCCCCACAAAATGGCACAGTAAGATGAATGTTTATAGCAGGATTATTCATAATAGTCTTTTTTTAAAAAGATTTATTTATTTATGCATACAGAACTGGAGTACAGGCCAGAGGTGCAGGGGTGGTGAGAAGATTCACCAGAGGCAGAGTGGGGAGCAGAACAGGCCAACTGATGACATACACTGCTGAGGGGAGCAGCAGGTGGGTCAGGAGAGGTCTGTCATGCCATGTGGATCACCTCCGGGATGGGGGTCGAACTCATGCTGAAGTGTTTAGCTTCTCAGTGTTATGCTTTAACCTGATGCGCCACCAGGGAGGACCTATTCATAATAGTCTTACGGGGGTGAACCCAAATGCCTGTCAGCTTATAAGGGATAAATACAAGGTGGTATATAAATACAGTGGGATATTACTTAGTCATAAAAAGGAATTAAATACTGATACTATGAAATGAAACATGCTAACAGAAAGAAGCCAGACACATATGAGACCTTTTATGCAGTGTTGGTTAAGTTAGCAGTTAAGTCAAATCTGTAGAGACAGGATGTAGGTTAGTGGTTCGTTAGGTCTTGGGATTGCTGAGAGAGGATAAGGGAGTGATAGCTAAAGGGTATGAGGTTTCTTTTGGAGATGATAAATGATCTAAAATTGTGATGGTTGCACATATCTTCAAATATATTAAAAACCATTGAATTATATACTTTAAATGGGTGTATTGTATGATACGTGAATTATCTTGCAACATTTATAAAAAAAATCTATCATATGAAGATAATATATGAGAAATAAAAGGAAAGAAAAACAAAGGATCACCTGTTACTTCACTGTTGTTTCAGTGCATAACCAGAATATCTTCCATGTACTTTATAACTTTTAATATAGGTAAGATATGCTATATATTCTTATTTATACCTTTTGCTATCAACAGTATATTAGAAATGTCTGGGTCAGGGCCCTCCCTGGTAGCTCAGTGGGTTAAAGTGCAGCACTACAAAGCTGGCCGCAACCCCTTCAGCACGAGTTCAATCCCTGGCCAGGGAGGTGACCCACATGGTGCCTCAGACCTCTCCTGCCTCACCTGCTGCTGCCCTCAGCAGTACTTCATCACTCTGCCTGTTCTGCTCCCGACTCTGTCTCTGGTGAATCCTCTCACCGCCCCTGCACCTCTAGCCTGTACTCCAGTTCTTGCATGCATAAATAAATCTTTA